TGGGCATCACGGCACAGGCTCCTGTTTTGAATTAATATGGGCAGGCTTTAATTTCTTTCTCTCTGAGGTACTGTCGGCCCCAACAGGGCTGAAGTTGACCAGTGCATGTACAGGAAGTTGGTGCAAATTAAAAAGGGTTACTGACCTGATTGCCCTTAATATGATCAATATATTAAGTAGAGTAATATATGTAAATGACTCAGTATATTTTCTTGTTATGAGGTTGGCATCCATTTCTAAAAAATATTAAATTTTGATTAACAACTGTCAATGACTTTGACACCTACTATGTTACTCTGAAAATGTATTATCTTTAAATTGATGTATTATTCAAAGATTCTGTGTTGTTTTCATTGTATAAAGCATTGTCTGAATGCCAACTGAGTTGCTAAAGTTTCATGTTTTCATAATGGGTGAAATTCTATTTTTTGGCCACAACCAAGAAAAAAATTGGATGGATCGTCAGAACCATTCACACTTAAGGTATACCTTTATGTTACTTTACATACGACAGAAAAGTAATAAACAGGGTAGAGAAAATTATTTACACATAGTAAATGATACATACAATTATATCTTCTATGGATTTGCTTGTCAAACCTAAAAAAGTGAAAAAGCTGCATTCTCTGATTTTCCAGTTCACTGTATCACTGAATTTGTCTCCTGTAAGCTGTTAAAATTTCATTTAAACCAAAAAGAATTTCAAATAATTTCTTCACAACAGAATCTAGTTCAAAATCAGACATTACTCACTTCCTGTTCTTATCAAGGATTAACTATCAATAGTTATTTAAACAGAATAATTTGCATGTTTTAGTCAAATAACATCACAATTGTCACAAACAACCTACATTATTTAAAGTTCAAACTTTGGAAATTGACACTGACCAATGAACAATGGTTATTGTTAAGTTTAAATACCCACAAAGGACAACAAATGTAAAGCACTTAGTTGTGTTGTTTACTGGTATCAAAGTTTGTCATACAATTCTATTGTTTCCTGTTGTTGTTCTTTAAATGACAATAAAAAAGGAAGAATGTGTCAAACAAGAAAAAAAGCATGAAAGAATGAAACACATTCACTTTGGCTTTAAAGCAACACAAGTCAGAGTCTGTATATTTCATTTTCCGATGTAGACAATACATCCTGCGTTTTTCCTTCCAGCGGTTTTACCATACACAAACATATGGCTACCCAATAAGATTTCAGTTGACAACCAGGTGCTATGAGTTTGTTAAACAGCATAAGTTTTTTTAATCATAACTTCATGTTTACTGTTGACATAGATTTATATTATACTCTTGTTTGTGACCTTAATACAGATTTTATTGATCTATTTTTCAGTTCAAAAGTCAATAATATATAATGATGTTAAGAGACCAAAAAACAGCTTTTCATTTTCCTTAGTCTTAATGATGCATTTATGCATCTTTTTCAAACTCAATATAAATGCAATGTCATGAAACACTCCCTTTCTCTGTAGTTGATGATCTTCAGCGAGCTAGAAGAAATCTTGGTTCTATGAGAGACAGTGCATATTAAAACTATCACGATGTAGCATTTTATCAAGATAATTATATCATAGCCTTTTAAGGAGAATCTAACATGAGGACATCTCTTTCACTGACCAAATTTGATGCCATGCAATCATTTAAAAATTTGGAACTAACATCACACTCTATGATCACATCACCAGTTTTACAAATAAGGTGTTGTTATGTAACAAGTAAACATGATAAAACAGACATGTTTTAATGTTCACGGCTCATTTAAAAGGCTTGAATCATTAATATTCAAAGAACTTGATCATGATGGGTGCAGTTTCGTTCAATGCACCAGCAGAAAAATTTCAATAAAGATCAACATTCCTGATACATGCATGGCTAACATATCAGATAAATAAATCTGTTAAAATATTCTGCTTCATTTTTTGACAATCAATTTTAAGGATATTTACTACAGTCACACAAACCGGGATCAGGAGTCATACCTCAGTGTGTGGTTACACATTTATATGATCATCTGACAGATTTCGGTTACAAACATAACTATCCCATATTCCCTTCTGACACTGAATATTTACATTTGTGATGTTAGAAATGACAACTTTGCATGTCACTTAATATTACATCCTTGTACGAATTTCATAAGAAGACTAGATGAAAAAATCTGAATTACATCATAAAATTTCCTCTAGTTCATAATTATGTAGTGGCAAATTTTGATTATCAAACAGACAGGCAGATAAAGAAGAATGCGATGTTTTCAGGAAAGAAAATAGTTCTGTGTTACCAGACAATAAATAAATTAAAATTTTGGGGAGACACTCAAATTAAAAAGTAGTTATACATTTTCTATACCACATAAATGACACAGGTTTCAGTCACTGCCCCAAGGCTAGGTGTAATTAGAATATATTCTTACATGGATGTCCATTAATATCTCAGGTACCTCATTATATACTACAGGTAGCATAAATACAGGTGTGAAATCTTCAGTCAGGGTATAGTATATCTATATCTGCCTATAGGCAAAGAAAGCTGAAGAACAGGTCATTATCTAGAAAGTTCTTTAGGAAATCCTTAAGGTGATAAAAAACTTCACCACTAATTGATATTAGCTGCATAATAGAACATATTTAAATGGCAAGTGATACCTATTTTAAAAATGTCATCACCTTCAACAGGATATCAAAGATATGGAACTTTTTTGTAATTATTCAAGTCTGGATATAAGATAATATGATGTTTAAAAGGTAACCTTTCACTGAATTTGATGTAATTATTTGAAATAATTATGCATAAGTTTCAGCTTTTAAGAACATTGTGATTTTTTTACATGGACACAATGTTACGCCATGTTTGAAATCATCATTCAATATAATGTAGATTTTATACAAAACTTCACAAATATGTGTGTAAATTTAGAAACATGTTTAAAACCTCAAGACTCATGTATAACTTTCAGTTGATGAAAAGAACATTATCGATTGTGACAGCCCTGTCAAAAATCTGGTATTCTAAATAAAATTTGGAATATGATAAAAACTTGACATCACTATAGAAAGAAAACAAGTTCTCATGAGGTTTATATACTTATATACAGGTAAATAAAACCTTAATCTTGTATTAGTCACCGTTTCACCACAGGAATGTGAACAATTTTTAAAAATGGAGTCGCAAGCCTGATTGACACAGACATTATGAAGACTTAAAACAGATATTATCATTTAACATTATCTCTGAACAACATTGAAGACAAACCCAGAAATATGTCTTTATACTACTAACTTAATATACAAGGTATGTAAAATTTTTGGTTATTTTCTGCCTCTCCAAAATGTTTGTTGCATCAATTTACATATAAAGCTAACAATGCTTGATGACTACTATACTGAACTACTACGGTAGTGTTAATCAGATCGTTTGATTTACAGATCATGACTTATAAATACGACCACCTATACACTGTAATTAATCAGCTTACGCTGATTAATAATAAAATAAATAAAATCTAATTTTCCATCTTTTATTGCAACATATATCCTACCTTCAAGCAAAAATACCAAAACAGTTTGCTAAACAAATTTTTCAAATATAATTCGCTTCGAAATGCAAACTATGAACTAAACATTGTCGTGAAGATTAATTTGTTTGTATACACACAAAACAGTATTATGTTTTTGCAAAATTTTATTTTGGCAATAAATGACCTTTAAACAATAAATGACTAACAGAAATACCTGAATTCATATCAACTTCAAAGCAAGTCTTCAAAGTAAAATTCTAGTTGTTTCTAAAATGAAGACTTATCTTTTGTCTTCAAAATTTTCCTGTAAATTTAACTATCTGTGTTTATGTTTCCATCAATCAAAGATATCTTATGTGATTTCAGCACCTCCTGTTGCTAAATTTGACTTGGGCACCTGTTTGATCTTTTCATGGCTGTACAATATATGTAGACACAGCAACAGATAAAAACAGTCTGAAGCCATAAAATTGTAAGATAAAAAAACACTGAATTGATAATTACTGGAGAGATGTAAAACTCAACACTCAAAACCAATAACTAGACATCTTAACAATACATGGCAATCTATAAGATTACAGTTTTTAAATAGTCAGCATTAAATTTCAAAATTGTCTAAATACATCTTTATGGTTTTTGTAAATTAATATTAAAACTATTTAAGTTCATTGAGTTGACAACCCTTTTTATGTCCTAATGCCAAAATTCTGAGAATGTTGAAAAGTTCTACAGTAAAATTTTGGAAATTTTTAAGTAATTTGAACTTTGCACAGTGTCAATTAGATAAACTAGTTAAAGTGATATGTATATTATATAATGTCAATATATGATAACAATTTATATATTTTTGAAGTATTTTCATTATTATATAAATCAACTAATATCATCAGCAGTCCCTTAATCGCCTTGATACAGATACTAGTAAAAATATATGATTTGCTGCTGTTTCTCTTTTACGAACCTTACTTGTATGTATATAATTTACAGGTAAATCAAACACCCAAACTGTGAAGTTTGGTCAGGAAATACACTAAAGTTCATGAACAGTTGAAGCAACTTAATTTTTGTATATTATGTTTTTCTTTGTTTGTAAAATTGGTTATCTGATTTTTATTATAGGTAGCACTGTATCATGTCAATTTTGAATTGAAGTCAAGGCTAAATCAAAGCATCTAGAACCTGGATTTCATTTCAGGAAGAACAAAATTCTTTGACTGGTTTATAATCATTTTTCCAATGAAATACCCATTTTGTGAGCAAAAATAACAGTGGATATTGTTCATGAAATCAGAGACGTATATATATACGTCTCTGATGAAATATAAGTGTGACTGATTTAATTAAAATAGGGGTGCTATTTATCGGGGGGAAAGTTCAGTCACATATAATTGATAAGTTGAATTGACTGCTTTCTGTAAAATCAAATTTTTATTTCAAATTTATCAATGAGTAAATAAATTACTATACCTACCATCCAATATACACCACTTGCCGTCGATTTCTGCATTCTGTATGTACGAATCTTCAATCGTTGGATCATAGTCTTCGACGAACATTTTCTGAAAGAATTGTATGGTTAAAGCAGACTTGCCAACACCACCATCACCAACCACCACGAGTTTGTAGGTCTTAGCATTATCTCCGTGTAAGCCCTTAGACATCGTGACAACTTGTTGCTTCTTCAAGTTCACACACTAAACTAAAGTGATTAAAAAATGATCTTGATTTCACAATTTGTCTTCATACGAACCTCCTCTCGTTACACAATTAGCAATTTCCTTTCGGATATGATAACTTATAAAAGAGGAAGTGAACTCTCTGGAACGAAGTGTGGCCCTCTTGAGTTTATGACACAATTTCTTTGCAACGCAGGTACGCTATTACGTTAACAGACAACACTGAGATAGAGGTAAAACCCCGGGGTCTCACTACCTAAACCTCGTGGTGTGAACCGAAATGGTAAACACGAACTACTAAGCTCCCGTTAACGTACCTAACCGTTTATAAGTCCTTGACATGCGCCGGAGGCTCGTCAACATACCGACTCGTGTTAGTTTAATATGTTTTCACTGCCCACAAACGATTAACACCTCAACAAATCTACATTGCTACACCTGATGTTGTCTGGTCTGTCAGTCAGGACGTCAAGTAGAATCGTAGTACACAGCCAATATGGCTGGGCTGTTTAATACCAAAGTTATTTTTAACGGCACATTTGATTGGATAATTTCTCAATCGACGAGGAATATCGTTTGTGATTGGCCAACAGGTACCGTTCGCAGTCGACGTTTGTTTACTTTCTAGTGAGAATGCAATGACGTAGTAAGTTGGCTAAAAAAATTCAAGATTCTGTTAGCAAAGCAATCATGCAGTCGCGATATCCTACAACCACGGACTGCGCTTTTAAATGCCACGCGGGGCAAACGTGACTTTGGAGTATCATATTTTCTAATCATGCACTGAACACCTCCACATATACCAACCACATGTACATCAAGCCGGTCAACAGCAGGTAAACCCACACAATCACAACCCGTCTTACCCAAGGGATTTCACCACGTGTTCCAAAGGGAAAGATTGTTGACGATCATCTGCAACATATTTGATTACAAGACGTGGTTGTTCAACGGAACCAACTTATTTTCATTTAATGATCACGTAACACCTATTTGGAGAAGGATTAACGAAAAAGAAATTAAAAGTGCCAAATATCGCCTCTTGGAATTTGGAAATAATTTGCCAAAAACAAAACAACATCAATTATCATAAGATACATTGAGGCTTGTGTGATATGAAGAAACAAAAACAAATCCAAGAACATAACAATAATCTATAATACATAATTTGACAGTATCATAATCGTTTCATTACCCAGTGCTTTGTATATATAACCTGTAGTTTTAGTCAGCTGTCAACATCTTTCACAAAAATATATATTGAGAACAAACCCTTGAATATGGAATCAGTTTGATGAGCAGTATTGTGCCTATCTAAAAATGGAACATTCACATTAAGGAAATAAAACTCATTCAGCTTAATGGACAGCAGTCCAGATTATAACTGTTAAAACTCTTTCATAAATCCAGGCTTCTCAGAAAACAAAAAGCATTAATGTCAATCAAGTGAATTAAAGATTATTATTTCTGTAAGTTCCCATAAGTCATACTGAATATGTAGTTTGTTTGAAGACACAGACATTCATTTGTCAACCCGAAATCAATCATTTCATCTTCACTTTAGATTTACTTTTCTGGGGGCTTCTCAGACAGTTAAGTAGTTGATCTGCAGAACATCAGATAAATATCCAAGGAGTGTTATTCAATAATCCCTTTAGATCATGGTCGGTTATTTTTCTCTGGTAGCTGAGAAACGGTTTATCCAGAGGTGACATAGTAGTGTTGTAGGATGAGACACTTAACCGCTCATACCTCCAATTGGAGCAACATTTCATGGCAAAATTGAAGTTCCATGTGTGATACTTTGTAGATAAAATGAAAACACTAGATTGATTCTTTGATATACATCCTATTCGTGTGTGATTTGTCATTCTTTCATTCCCTGCGAAACACATTTGAGGGGGGTATTAATTTGGGCTTCGTCCGTGCATGCCTCTGTGCATCCATCCGAGCACTTTTCCAGGCTATACTTAAAACAGTTCAACTCAACTTCATAAAACTTGCTGTATATATTTAGTTTGTGCCCTAGTTGTGCCTTTTGTTATTGACAACATTTCATTTTCAATTTGTTTCTGTTACCATGGAAACATGGCTATACTTAAAACAGTTCAACTCAACTTCATAAAACTTGCTGTATATATTTAGTTAGTGCCCTAGTTGTGCCTTTTGTTATTGACAACATTTCATTTTCAATTTTTTTCAGTTACCATGGAAACATAGTATAAACACACAAAGTTAGTGTTAACTTTCCTTTCCAGACTACAACTTCAAAACCATTCCACTCAACTCCTAAAAAAACCTTCTGTGTATATTAGGTTATTGTCCTAGTCTTCTGCTTCATCGACAATACCCATCATGTTAAGCTTAATCAATCCAAGGAAATAATGTCAGGTTCTCAAATGAGAACAAGGAATACAACAATGCAACCAACAGGAAAACTAATAAGCATCAACCATGTCCAGCTTCATATTGCACAAAAAATAGATAATATCTATAAAGCTTTACACAGCAAACTCTGTCAAGAAATGAAAAGATAAAAACATTTTTTCAAATATAGTTAACTTTTTTATTTGTCAAATTCAAAATCAACAAATCTTCACAACAAATACAATCAACTGCTAAAACAAGGATCACATTGTCAGCTTTTATAAACATACTAATTTTGCAAATAAGGCATTTAGTAAATGTAATCAAATAACTATGATAAGTATTGAATATATCAGGTATCTATACATTGCACCTTATATACAAAATTCTCAAAACATTGCTGAATGGATATCTTATATGGGAACTCTTTAAGACTGGAGCAGCAGCGATAAGGTACTGATCCTTAAAAAATACTGTATCAACATTTGTTATTGTTACTTAAACTATATAACAAGAATTCTAGGTGATTCAATTGTCTTTCAGGAAATCAAACTTAAATCTGATTGGACTCCACATAGGTGTTAAGATTGTATATAACTTACTTTGGCATGCAAATATATCTCCTTTCACACAGAGTTCCATTGTATAAACTAATAAATTTTCCTCAACAAGTATGTTCATCATGGTATGTTCAGAAGACAAACACAATTTCTTCAGTTCTTAGCTGTAATCTGTTTTGCTCAGACACTTTAAAAACTGACGTAACAATCTATCTGTATCAGAGGGTACAAAAAAAAATCAAATGAGATCATCTGATACCATTTTCATAATGTCCTTTGAGGTTTTATTCAGTACTAAGTAATTTATTTATTTCAGGATTTTTTTTTTATTTACTGACCATTTCTCATGGGAGCAACTTTATTATAAATTTAGAGTAAGATACAGTAGAGCCAAAACTGACCTGAACTAATTACAGCTATTTCATCAATCTAGGGCTCGTCGGTGATGCTAAGGCCTAAACTTTGGAGGTGACTGAGGAAACTTAAAATAGTTAAAAAAGAATGTCAAAACTAAGATGACGAGATACATGTATATATTCTGAAGGATGCCACTATTCACATAATTAAAAAGAGGCAGCAATCCTTACCCTCAATCTGTTAAAATGACAAACAACTTCTGATATAATTATCATATTGGGCCCCGCCCTTGTGGTCAAACAGAGATCAGATTAACTATTCATAAAAATTGTTTCAGACCAAACATGGACAATATCCTTGAATGGAAGAAAGACTTTTTAAGAACTGACAACCCCCCAACCGGGCCCTCTCCTCCCACCGTCGAGACTGGGATGCACTGTTTATACAGATTTTGGTCCCCTTCACCCAAGAATACTTCAGACTAAATTTGGACAATATCCATTTATTCTCAAAGGAGGGTTAAGATTTTAAAGAACAAAATTTCTCCTTTTGGGTCCCACCCCTAAGGCCCTCTGGAAACTGAGAACCAATCCTTACACAAACTTTGTTCCTCTTCACCCAATAATACCAAGGTTTGGCCATATCTAATCATTCCTAATGGAAAAGTAGGATTTTTAGGAATTTGCTCTACTTCCCCAATTGAGCCCCATCTCTCCCATCCGAGGAGGCTAGAATCCACTGTTTATAGGCAAGTGATTCCCATTCATCAAAGAATACTTTAGACTACATTTGGGAAATATCCATTAATTTCTGCAATAGTAGGATTTTAAAGAGTTTTCTCTAATTTCCCTATTGGATCCTGACCCTCAGGCCCCAGGGGCAGACACCAATAGTTTATACAAATTCATTCCCCTCACCTAACAATGCTTCAGACCAAATTTCAGCAAAATCCAATCATTGAGACCCATTGTTTATACAAAATTGATTCCTCCTCATTAAAACATGATTCAGACCAAATTTGGACGAAATCCAATCATTTCAAATTTGCTCTATTTCCTCTTTTGGGCACTGCTCCTCGGGCCCCAGGGAGTCAAGATCCAACATTTTTATACCAAATTGATTTCCCTTCAGCCAAAGATGCTTTTGACCAAATTTCTTCAAAATTCAACCATTCCTACAAGAGGAGTAGGATTTTAAATTATTTGCTCTATTTCCCCTATTGGTCCCCGCCACTTCTGCCCTCCTGTTTTAGAATTTCCTCTCACACATAAATATAACGACCAAAAATGAAATATCATCCATTTTAACTCCTCATAGCATAATATTTCCAGATATGTGTGTGTGCCAACCCTGCTTTTTGCTTATACTCTGAAAATTCATGATATTCAGGCAGTTTGGTTCCGTCAGATGTGGCTGGACCCCTCAACTTGCATGTGCCAAATATTTCTTAAGCCCAATTTGTACCTGGGATTTTCTTCAAGCAGTCCAACCATTTCAACTTCATACAGGAAAGCAATGATAGTCTTTGTTTTTACTTTTAAAGGGAGGTAACATTTACATAATTCAGAGTTTAAAGTGTAAGGTGACATCTACACTAACATAAGGTACAATTGGCCTGTATCACTCACCTGGCATTGAGTTTACACAGTTTTAAGTTTATTGCAAGTTTGTTGGAAAAGTTTAGTTATGAAACTACCAATGATCTTAGGCTTTAAGGTCATGAAAATATTATTGATAGGAATAAGTTCTCCTTGACAAATAGATAATGGATGCTGTCCTGTGACGTAAGGACACCTCTGTCAACTGAGCAAAAACTTCTGAAAATAATCCATAATTCATATTTTCTATGACAAAGAACAACACAGAAAAACATTTAGTCCTCAGCCTACTTGTATCGCAGTATCACAAGTACCGTATTTATCTTCAAATAAGACCCCTCTCCTTGTGTAAAAGTTTAAGTATTTAAGTTTGGGAGGGCTTATTTGGGATACTTTTGGTGTACTATATTGATATGAAATTTTTTTATTTTACCGTTAAAAGATATTCCATAGTTACAGGCAAGACAAGATGGTACATTTACAAAATAAAACAGAACTCAAACTTGTGATGTATATAAATGATCATTTTTATACAAGGTGGGCCTCCTGTATGCTCTTCAGTGAGATAGTCACTAGCTATTACAATGAACCCAGCCAACAAGTCAGATAAAGGTATGTTATAAGAATAATGTGGATTACACCATTATTAAAGGCTCATGTTAGAAGACAAAACATTTTTTACTTTTCAAATTTTTTTCCTACAATGCAGCCCCCAGTAATAGCAAATTCCAACAAAATATTTACAAGGGTTACGTTTATTTCTGGTACTGTACTTTATACTACAGCGGGCCTGACTTTTTAAAAGACAAGAGGCCCATGGGCCTTAACGGTCATCTGACAAAAAGCAAGCCAAACCTAGAAAGTGGGTTGAGGTCATTCATTTGAACAAACTTGGTAGCCTCTCCTCCAAGCATCTTACAGGCCCAATATCAGCACTCATGGACTTTTGCTTGTTGAGAAGAAGTCGTTTGTATATTTTAACATATTTGACCCCTGTGACCTTGAAAGTGGGTTGAGGTCATTCATTTGAATAAACTTGGTAGCCTTTCCTCCCAGCATGCTACAGACCCAATATCGGCACTCATAGACTTTTGCTTATTGAGATGAAGTCCTTTGTATATTTTAACATATTTGACCCCTGTGACCTTGAAAGTGGGCCAAGGTCATTCATTTGAACAAACTTTGTAGGGCTCCATGCCAGCATGCTATGGGCCAAGTATTAGCCCCCTAGGCCTTCTAGTATTTGAGAAGAAGTTATATAAAGATTTTGACATATTTGACCCCTGCGACCTTGAAAGTTGTTCAAGGTCATTCATTTAAATAAACTTGATAGCCCTTCATCCCAGCATGCTACAGGCACAATATCCAATATTTTGGCACTCATAAAGTGGGTCACTTTTGCTTATTGAGATGAAGTCCTTTGTATATTTTAACATATTTGACCCCTGTGACCTTGAAAGTGGGTCAAGGTCATTCATTTGAACAAACTTGGTAGAGCTCCATGCCAGTATCCTCTGTGCCAAGTATTAGCCCCCTAGACCTTCTAGTATTTGAGAAGAAGTCGTTTGAATGAAAAGTTTACGGACGGCGCACGGCGGACGACGGACGGACGAAGCATGATGACTATAGGTCATCGGACCCTTCGGGTCAGATGACCTAATAACAAAAACCAATCTTTTCTTAAGCATTCATATAGACATAGATATGTAATTTCGAGTTAACTTAATGATTTGTAATGTATCTGAACTCAATTAAGAGAGGAAACTTTTCTTAGCATGGTCTGTACAAGTTAAACTTAGCCAAATAATCAAACTTCAAAAATATACTGATTAACTTTATCTGGTCTAATAGTTAAATCTTGTCACAGAATGCAAATATTTTTCAGAAACTGAGCAATATCACTGAAAAAATACTTAAATATTGTACAAAAGTCCATTCCTTGGCACTGCATGTTATCACATATGATCCTTTCTCGGATATACCCTATGGAAAAAAAATCTGTCAGTGCAATTTTGACTGAAAATATCACAATACAAATTCATCTTGATCAACATTTTTGAAAGATTTGTAATACTATTATTTCTCAGCAGTAACATCACTGGTTGTCGTGAAAGTCAATCTACTCTACTACGCACCTCCCAAAACACCATCCCTTAGAATATCCAGTCCGCAGCTCACACACCATAACAATGTATACAAACCCTTACTATCAGGGAATTCTTGTTGCTTAATTTCCTTGGCTCTCAATCTTCAATGTAACAGATCCTCATTTATCCATCTGTAATGCATGACCTCTTCAATTTTGTTGACCTTCACCTGGCTTTAATCTAATGACCTTGACTGACCTCTGACCTGTGCTATCTGAAGTTGTCAACCTTGATTGTGAGTGCTACCTCAGGATGGTTATTCCTCCGACCAAATCCACCAAATTCTTCCTGCCTCTTTTTCCTCATCTCCCTCCTACAAAACATTTATTAATAATACCTGATCAAGCATTTAATGATTTGTTATTTTTCTTCTGGGGGATTATCTTGTTTTTATTTCCTGGTTAAGACCTACAGGCTACAGCACTACGGTTAATGGTGAAATACACCATCAAATCTGTTCTGTAATTAAAGGGACTAAATGGTAAGATATTCATTTCATAACTGATAAAAAGCATTACAACATTTAAATGTCTGTTAAAAATTGTGTACTTTCTGTTAATTATAATATTTTAAAGTTTGCATAATCATTTTATTAACAATGTCAAAAAATTTAGATGAAATAGGAGCAACCCAACACTAATTCATATCATCATTCTGAGAGTGTAAACATGTCATTGTGTATGCTTTTTAGAGTAATTCAAATTCATTTATTTCACTCAATCATGCATAGAGCATGAGACAAGAGGTCATCTTACAAGAAGAAAGATTTGAAACATGGCTGACAAATTAAGTTTTGGCTAATTACACAATTATACATAGTAAGAAATCATAACGAAACGCAAAGTTGAATACGAGGTTCTGAAAAGTCACATGATGAACTCGGCTATCTCCGATCAAAACAGCGATGGATGGTAGACACAACAGCGACTGTCCACTAGCATTAGTTTGGAGCTGATAATCTTATCACTTTCTCTCAGAGTTTTGTGAAGAGTCTAATTTTAAGTATTATAATACTTGCCCGAAATCAAACACATGGGAAAAAATAACGAAATTAAACCACTTAGTCCCTTTAAATGTAGAAATGAAATTTTCTCCATACATTTAATAATTAAGGAAATTGCATGATAAAATAACACAAGATGTTTGAGTGTCAAAACAGGAGAAAAAACCTCAGTTTGGAATCAATTTCTCTAAATAGATCAACTGTAAACCTAATTAAGTTGGCACCATTTAATTGTGGCGCATAAACACTTTCTGGCAAATAAGTGCAATAAGAAAATGGTGCATCCATAATAACTGTTATATACCAAGCATATGTAGAACCTATACTTAGCACAATCACATTTATCTCAATACTTTCAGTGCAAAAGCATTTAAATAAGATCGCCACTAAAATATGTACATTTACCGTATAACATAATCATAACCTTGTAACTTGTAATTATATTCAGAAATCACATGATACCATAGCAACATCCAGAGGCTATTTATATATTGGGTACCAGTCACAATTAGTTGAGATGCTAAATTCAAAAATATTCTTATCACACAACTGAATACCAAACTTACTCTTTCTTCTTTTCCTCCACCAGTTTTTGTAGCTCCATTTGTCCACAATCATCCTCTACAGTGGCAAAGTCATTCTTACCCATCTGGTCAAACTGCACGTCCTGACGATCACAAAATTTAGAAACATTCAATTAATGTGACATGGAAGGTTGTAGATGAATTCTACCTTTCTGTAGCCTTTGTTTTGTTTATTTTACTACATTATCACCCCTGTGAACAGCCAGGGCCATTTCTCCCTGTAGCAGCTGGTGGTTACCTCACTGAACATAAAGCAGAAGGTCTGCCACATACTATCTATAACAACTGGAGTAAATTGTCTTGCCCAAAGAAAGACAAAAACCAGGACATCACAGAATGGTTCAAAACTGCAGCTTTCACAGAAATATAAACTGCCATACTTGTCAGGTCTTCATCTGGGGTTTTAAAGTCCGATACTTGAATGACTAAGCAATTCTAAACCTCTTGTTATGACTTAGAAACTTAAGTATGCATGCTACCATACTGTGAGATTGAGATGTAAGGATGTATGCTACTTTACTCTGACATAAAGACGTAAGGATGCATGCTACCTTACTGTGAAATGAATACTACCTTATAAGAGAACATGACAACATATTGAAGTATTTAAGAGTGACCTTGACTCACTCTTACACTGATCATAACACAAAGATGAAGTATGTTCAAGTAACCTTGACTTACCTTCAGTCATATTGTAACAAACAGGTGAAGTATTTAGGAGTGACCTTGACTTATCTTTATACCTATCACAACACACAGGTAAGGTATTTAGGAGTGACCTTGACTCACATTTACACCTATCATAACACACAGGTGAGGTATTTAGGAGTGACCTTGACTCACATTTACACCTATCACAACACACAGTTGAGGTATTTAGGAGTGACTTTGACACATCTTTATACCTATTCTAACACATAGGTGAGGTATGCAGGAATGACCTTGACTTACCTTTACGCCTATCATAAGACAAAGGTGAAGTATGCAGGAATTACCTTGACTTACATTTATACTTGTAATAATACAAAGGTGAAGTATGTAGATATGACCTTGACTTACCTTTACGCCTATCATAAGACACAGGTGAAGTATGCAGGAATGACCTTGACTTACTCTTACACCTATCGTAAGACACAGGTGAAGTATGCAGGAATGACCTTGACTTACCTTTACGCCTATCATAAGACAAAGGTGAAGTATGCAGGAATTACCTTGACTTACCTTTACACCTATCGTAAGACACAGGTGAAGTATGCAGGAATGACCTTGACTTACCTTTACGCCTATCATAAGACACAGGTGAAGTATGCAGGAATGACCTTGACTTACCTTTACGCCTATCATAAGACACAGGTGAAGTATTTAGGAATGACCTTGACTTACCTTTACGCCTATCATAAGACACAGGTGAAGTATTTAGGAATGACCTTGACTTACTTTTACACCTATCGTAAGACAAAGGTGAGGTATGTAGGAATGACCTTGACTTACCTTTACGCCTATCATAAGACACAGGTGAAGTATGCAGGAATGACCTTGACTTACTCTTACACCTATCGTAAGACACAGGGAGGTATTTAGGAATGACCTTGACTTACCTTTACGCCTATCATAAGACACAGGTGAAGTATGCAGGAATGACCTTGATTTACTTTTACACCTATCGTAAGACAAAGGTGAGGTAGTTAGGAATGACCTTGACTTACTTTTACACCTATCATAAGACAAAGGTGAGGTAGTTAGGAATGACCTTGACTTACCTTTACACCTATTGTGTCACCATCACGAATGTGAAACGGAGCATTCTTCAGATTACACCTCTGTCCTCCTTTCTTCTTTCCTTTCTGATGATTTTTCTACAAAAGAAAACATAAGATCTGTAAGTTAAGATGTTGTTGGTTTATTTCATTTTCATCAATATTAATCAACATGATAAATTTTTTGGTCGGTGTTATTAACAAATGCAGACAAATATAGACAGAACAACCCACTGAGTAATCTTACTGCATTCTGATAAAAGGCCATGTAATATTTGTATGATTATACCATTTAATATTGTTAATACATTATAAACCTGTACAAGCAGAACACCTGTACTGGGAGGCTATTTATCCAACAAGAGATCCTAACATCACAGAAGCAACAGCTGGAATAAATGAAAGATTATCTTTTATCCTGAACTTCATTTGTCAAAATCCATGATGGATGCATTTTGTTAAATCTAATTAATTCCTTGTTCAACACACACAGCTAGGGACCACAAATGATTTAGATATGAAAGTTCAATGAAGAGCAATCACAAATGTCAACTGTTAAAATCAAAGATGGCCACCTGTCAGCCATTTGTTTATCTAGTGTATTTCAAAACTGAAAATGCACAACAAGAGATCAAAAGGAACCCACATATCTTACATGATGTAGTGGTACTGTACACCTTACAGTATTCAATTTACATATATGTAATACAGACCTGCTAAATATTGTAGAATGTTACATTTCTAACTTATGGAATACATACTGAATTGTTTCCCTGCATGAAATCACATAATGTAATGCATGCATTCATTTTGAACTAAAAGATTCCTTCCATGGGGGATTAAAAAAACAATAATTTTTAAATTTTAACTGTCTGATCATCTTTCATAAAAGTTTTATTTTTTGTAACATTGGTGGCAGGTGTTCAAGTGTGTCAATAAGCAGAAAGAATCAGCTTACTCTTCCAAAACACCTGGTCTTATTCTCCTTGTACTGTTTAGGGAGTCTTTGTATAAATCTTTCTTTTGTTTATATTTAGCCCAAGATTCATCAAGGTTTCCTTTAGGTTAAGATTCAACATACCCCATGTCACTATTTTCTTCTTTGTTTTAGGTTAAGCATGAAGAGAGTGACCTACTTTTGATTGCTGCTGTTGTTCCTGGATGATCAGCCATTCGTATCTTTTGGGGAAATGTTTCGCAAGGTGAAGATACTGCTCCTCAATAAGAAATGCTGTACTCAATGACTGTTTCAGGCTTTGGGCTGTAGCTCCCTGGGTTACGTCCCATATCACTTCATGTGGAGTCATGTACATCCTGGTCCCTGAGACTCTTTGCTGGACTTTAATTACAATCTCATTAGCACTGTAACAGGAAGTCAAGGATGTAAAACTTATAACTGAAACAGTTTGAAAAGAAATCTTTTTTGAGAAAATTGTATCCAAGTACAAATTCTTTTAACTTCTTTTTGTAAGGATTATGTAGTGTGGTATCTGGATTTAACATCCTGTGATAACACCTGGATTGTTCAGGCTCCACTCTCTATATAGAGAATCTTACTTTAATCTCTCCTATGATTACACCTGGATTGTTCAGGCTCCACCCTGCATAGAGAATCTTACCTTTATCACTCATCCTGTGATAACACTTGGATTGTTCAGGTTCCACTCTGTATAGAGAATCTTACCTTAATCTCTCCTCCTGTGATAACACCTGGATTGCAATTTTACAGCACGACTTCAATTTCAATTTTCTGAAAAGAAAACGTGAGACACAATACAACCACACAAAGTGTTGATTTTTCTATGTCTTTTATCTATCCAGAATATATAATAAATGATTATGTTTTCAGTTTTGTATCAAATGGTGATTGTTTTACATTTGATAACTCAACATCAAATTGCACTCTCATATTGCACTCTCAATCAAGTGTTCTATGACATCACATACATCGTAGTCTCAGATTTGTCCATCAAGTTGCAACAGAGTGCAATAAAATGTTTTATCAAAGATGTGGTATTTTTCATGCTGTAGTGAATGTTATGGAAACAGATGCAATTCATTCTATGATCCATTTTTTATACTAGTTATGGCACTTCAATTTGATCGATATGAAGATTTATGCAGCGTCATATTGATCGTAATGAACTGCCATAACTGTTATAAAACCATCCATTCCTCCACTCAAAACCTTTTTAGCAAAACTTGATGATATGTTTAATCAGAATGGTATGTGAGTCAATTGAAAAGTCTACGCAGGGGTGTAAAACTTACTGTAGAGTTTGAGTAGGTGGGCGAAGGACAGTGGTCAACTGTCCATCTTCTATCATCCTGACACGGATAAAGTTTGTGGTGGGGATGTTGATGTCGGCCATAAGGGGGAGAGTCATGACCAGCTGTTGAAAGTCCTCTAGAGTGTCCTGGAGTGAGACTTCTACCTCCCCTATAGAAAGAGGTTCCTGGGTCTCGTTCTCAGAGGCTTCCCCTGATGATGTTTGGTTCAGCTTCAGCAAGTCTTCAGAATAGGATAAATAACATCAACAACAAAATCACCTTGTCAACAACAGGAATAATGTTACAACCTATATCAATGGCAAGAAAGGACAGCATTGATAATGCATGCAAGTGTTTGGCTGGTGCACACCTAAACACATCTAAGTTCTAGGTTAAGATTACTGTAGGCAAGGAAATTTTAGGACCACGTTCTTTCTGCCCTTAAACCACAATGCTTGTACATGAATTTGCCTCATGTCATTTCGCCCTCTGAAATTTATATAAAAGTATATCGAAGTATAAGAAATGGCCCCCACTTCTTGAATTTTGCCTTCCCTGCTCATTAAAAAAGGGTGATAATTTTTGGTTTACAGTATGTGTAGTGGAAGGGAGTTTTCTTACTTTTTCAAAATTTAAATAAAATCATTGAATTATTTGAATTTTAACTACTTTGTTTGTCACAAAATATTCATAAATTATCCAATATCAGAAATACAAATATGATACGCAATGTTACGAAATTTCCCATTATTTCCATTTTTATCTTATGGTAAGGAGATCCTTGTGTCTTACCTTTGATCCCTGATGTTATCCATGACAACATGCTCCCTGTATTGGCGTCTGACTGATGTGGTTTCTCTAGTGTTGGGTATAACACCACAGACGGGCGGATGTAGCCCTGTCAGGGACAGAACACATTAATTTAGCAATATCGAATGGGACAGGGAAGCCATATCAATCCCAAAAAGTTCCATCACCAGGAGACCTGAGATATTAGTAACCATAATGGTAATCACAAACTCAAAGAATCAGAAGATCAGGGGCTTATCTTTTCAGCAAGGGACACAAATATCAGGATATGTATTTACACTATTGTTAACCTTAGGTGTCTGATTCTAAAAATAATTATGTTTGTTCAGTCAATACTTTTTACTACAGCGATCCATTAACACATGATGACAGGGTTTATACCTTTGGTGGAAGTTTTCCTTCCTCTATGAGTAAGTGGTCACCATCATTGACCAGGCTCTGACCCAAGGAAAGATCCATGTCATCCAGTACTTCGGCTGCCTCTCCACACCAGTTGGTCTTCCGCAGATGCCATCGGTCTTCTGTAACCAAAACACAGGGGTCTACCGTCATTAAAAGGTATCAAACTAAATGCAATTAGGAGAAATCAATGGAACCCTGATTTACTCTTTGTACATACTTACAAAATTTCAATCTTGGAGTGATTTTTGTCTCCAAATGACATTTCTGTATCAAAATTACACAATTACATTGAAATTATTTATAGTCAACAAAGTCTAAAGCGTTAATGTGTAACTCTAGTGACATCTTTAAATAAAGGTTGTGGAATATTTTTTAGGTGAGACAGATTTTCTAAAACACAGAACAAGTCTCTTGTCCAGATTACACATCCATGACCATGCTTACCTTTCAATCCAGCTCTCATTTTAATACATTCCAGACACTCTCCCAAAGTGGATGACTTGTCTAGTATCACTTCCTTGCACACAACATCAACCTTTGGGTCACTTGAGGTGAAGGTCAAGGTTATCTGGTTTGAGGCTGGACTTTGTCCTTCTTCCAGGATCAGAGTAGTCCCCCCTGTCAATGACGCTTCTTCAACTGTCAACTGCTCGTGTACTTTAAAATAGAAAAGATTTTTTGTATGAAAGCACCTGATGTACAGCAATTATTAACAATTTCCAACTCTTAACAGATCAGCCTCGTAAAATTTAATGAATAAAAGCTGTCTTTTGCTCATTACTTCAGCATTTTGTAATTCCTGAAAAATGATTAAAATCTAAATACAGAAAGTATGCTGTATAAAGCCATGTCAGGTCATCCAATGTCTGTTAGTTAAATGGTCTCCCCAGCTACTAAATGGACACTTTACTGGTAGGATTTGTATGGCTCTGGCAAAGCCAACCGTATTCAAGATGACTATTATGTTTTCATTTTTTAATGTAAGTCCGACTTTGGCAAAAAGTAATTAGATTCTGTCAGAATTTATCAATTACAGTACCTCTAAGAATCCATGAAATTGTGATTCAAACACATTTAGATTTTGTATTAAACATAGCACTCACTGAACAAAAAATAAATGTCTCTATGTTTACGTATTTTCTTCAGAAGTTTTCAATGTCATCCATACTGGAAATCCATTATTTTCAGAAATATGTTTACAAATGTATGTTTACAAGGGGCCTTTTGTAGATAGTTATGTTAGTATATATTATATTAATACTTACAAGGCGGTCGAAGACCTAGTGTATCATGGTCAATCCTCAATCGACCTCCTTCCTTTAGGTCACACAGATCAAACTTGGATAAGGCAAGAATTTTCACTTCTGCTATACTCTGTACATGAAAGAAAAGTAGTTCTCTTAGAATTCAATTTGACTAAAAACATATAATGTAATGATTTCTATCTTTCACAGGTTTTATTTTGTTAAGTGTTTGAGGACAGAATAAAATTGCAAAAACCAATACTTTGAAAAATTAAATCAATACAGAAACCAACTGTATACGTCTTTTTTCGACTTTTGGTAAAGCTGTGAAAATTTCAACTACTGCAATTCTTTTTTTTACAATGAGGTAAAACTATCAATATAGCCTCAAATCTCCAATTTTTAGCATGGGAAAAAAAATCATTTTTTTCACAAGCCACAAACAAATTCTGCAACAACCCCCCCTCCCAAAAAACATTGTTCATAAGTAAGATAACTCCAATTTTCCTTCTAATGATTCACTGATGTACTGTATAAACAATAAGATACAGTGGCTGTGTACTTACTGTATCTCTATCAACATCCAGGCGAATAGTTGTTCTATTTCCATCCATGGGTGTCTGGAATACATCAGGTACAATAAGGTAATATTGAAAAAAAAAATTGTAGTTTGAAGTTACACAACAGAGAGTATACAATCATAGATCTTTTATTACTTATAAGAACTATATTTTGTATACAGAGATCCATTTTGATTTTAATTCATAAATAATGCTGTTAATTAATTGATATGTTACAGTTCTTTTAGCCCCATATTAAACTGTTCATTTTCATCCAGTCTTTATCTAGATTCAAGCTAAATTACTGTAAAATCATTGATTTTTGTGGGATGTTTATTTTCATAAATTTCATGGGTACATATTTGTAATCCATGACTTCATTTGTCCATGAACTGTTAAATATGTATAAGTAGATTGATTTAGCTATATTTATCCATGCTATCAAGTGTCAAAGAAATTGTAGTTTTTTTAAAATACCTCGAAAATTGAGCCCCTTGAAAATATATGATTTTACAGTACATCAAATAATTCATTTCAACTTTAATCTCAAACTTTTTACCACTTTTGATTATTCAGCCTATAGGAAAAAAAATTAACTATGGCAAATTTCCCCTATATAGAGCAGTGTCATAATCAGCACTGTTGACGAGAACAGACCGCTGTCTTTGTTCTGATCTGGTTTGACTAATATCAACAGAAGTGAGAAATTACTCACTGAGCTACATTTGTTCTCAACAAAGAGGATGACTTTGGTATTTGCCAGGATCACTTTTTCACCAAGACTTTGTCTGAAAAACAGAATAAAGAATATTTGAAAGACAAAATTGGAAAAATTGTTCATTCACTGTCTTACTATTTACAATCAATATTGCAGCTTTTAATTTTCCTAAATAAACTTGTAAATTCACTCTCCTCTGACAAAGTTATTTAGGGTTGTTTTTCAAACTTTGTCCCAGGATGTAATTTTTGAAGTGCCTGTAGAATTGAAGCCTGTTTATGAATTCATTACCGGTCTTTGTTTTCTGCCACAATTTGGTCAAAGTCTGTCAGCTGTAAATCCTTCAATGTAGATCCCATTTGGTCCTCAGTGAACTCAACAAGTTTCTGAGACATATCTGCAAACATTAATTAAATAGATTAAATTCCACAATTTTCATGTTTTATAAATGTCACACTCAGAGATTTTGTTCAAGGTCAACTAACACAGAGGTATAACATAAAAATTTAAGAATACTGACCTTCACCTGTGATCTTTTTCAAGGTTATCTGACTCAGAGGTATGTTGGTTCTGTCAGATACTTTAACCTTGAAATCATACAAGGTCATATTTTTAGGAAATCCATCAGCAAATTCTGATTGTGGATTTCCATACATCACATTAAGGAGAACTGGTTCACAGTTCACACCTGTTGGAACACATTGACCATTGATCTGAAAGATGAGAAATTACAGTATGATATACCTTTACACACAGTGTATACTTCTTAATGTTTTAATCAAGTCAAATTGGTGGCTCCATATGAAGCAGATCCAGATTGTCAAAATGTGTTCTGCAAGGAGATTCCCTTTGACCTACCCTGGACTTTGTGAACTAAAACACAGACAGGCCAGCAAGAGCGTCGCCATGTGGCTGGAAATCCCTCCCTCACCCACCAACCAACCCACTCTTACACATACACCCCAAGCTGACAGATTGCTGGCAAGTATGCTCTGCCATAAAAGACAGTTACCAAAAATAAGCCCATACTAACAAAAAGGTTCAACAATCTGAATTTTTTATTTATAGAAACCTTAGAACTTGGGATATAAAAAGCAATATCCGAAACAAGCATTGTTGGTAAGGAAGCATTGTATGAAGTTTAATTTAGATTAGGTAAAGCAAACTCAAGTTATCACACATAATCTGAATTTCCATTATAGCAACTGTTACAATAACTCCAACCTTCTGGGTCTGAAAAGTAATCCTTATTTAGCACTTTCAGTAAGAGAGCATTGAATGAATTTTGAGTCTAAATGACCCAAGGGAACCCAAGTTATATCACAGAAACCAATCTTCTACTGTAATCTGGATTATTGACCCTGGGACCTGAAAGCAATCCAAAGAAAGCGAAAGCCATTTTTATAAAGGAGCAATTTTTGAGGTTTGAGCTTGATTGACCTTTGACCTTCAAAACTGTAACGCAATCCCAAGCAAACATTTTCAGTATGGAAATACTGTAAGAAATTTGAGAACCTCTCTTCAGGATCACAGGGTCTACTGTAAAGTTGACATCTAAAACTATGCTACATGACATTTTCTGTGTTTGTAAAATAAACAATGTACAAAAAGAGATCTACCATTCAGAAGTGTACTTAAATGAAAGGAAAGTGGAAAGCGAGAAAATGGACACAGGTAATTGATTATCAACACAACCCCATAAAATAGCTATCACAGTAATGCCATACAACTGTCAAATGGAATATAATCAAAGAAAAATATATTTTCTCTGTAAAAATATGCATTTTATAGCTTTTTTTTACTTACCTTTCCACCATCCCAGACAAATAACATGTTTCCATCGTCTACCGGAGTTTTCATCAGTGGTAAATCATCATCACCTGATAGACATGGTCAAAACATCTGTTTGAATACCGTAGGTTGTAAAAGGATTTTGTGTTTGTGATTAAATTAGAGATAAGTTCAGAATAGTTAAACTATGTGAAAAACAATACTTTGATGTGAAATCATGTACATCAGCAACTCTACAAAAGATCAGTGGTCATATGAATTTGTGGATTAAGAATATCCATAAATTCAATGTGAACAAGAGTTTCAGTAAAACTGATGAATTCTCCCTTAAAACAACTAACAATTTTAACAAAGGGCTATAACTCTGTATTTAAGGTGTTTCAGACATTGAATTTGGTATGCTGTGCATCCTCTTAGTACAACCATTGTATACATGAAATTTCATTTATCTAGTTTTAATTCAAGCATTTTAAGTTATGCTCTGGACACAACATTTTAACAAGGACAATATAACTGTAATTAAGAGGTAGGGGTAGTAGGTCTGAATTTGGTGCACTGCACACCGCCTTAGTCATACCAATATATACACCAAGTTTCGTGATCCTTACTGAACTGTGTGCAAAGTTATATTTCAGATATGAAAGGACAGATGTACAGACAAGGCAGCAATTATATGCTCCCCTGAAAAATTTTGGGGAGCATAATAAATCGCCCACAAAAATTAATGATCTTACAGTATACATACAAATATGGTCATCATACAGTATAAAAAACTTGACGTGTAGGATATCTTTATAAGTGTATAAACACCTCCATACCATATTTCAGAATATTGCCAAAAGAATGCAGTACAAAACTCTGTTTCTCCAATACATGTGAAAATCTCTACTTAAGGTTGATGTAATTCAGGGCAACAGGATTAAATTCAGTGTAATCTTGTAATACAATGATTCAGGATGTCATAAAAAGGAGTGAAAGATTCCATTTCTCACATGTTAACACCTACCTGATATGCTCTCATACAGGTGGTAACCTGCCACAAGCTCCTTCATCAGGTGTATGTGAAAGTTTTCTGCAACTCGGCCCTCTGCTACCTGTAATATCACAAATGCTGTATGTATGCAAACAAGACAACGGATTTCACATATTTGAATATAAACATTTTCACCCTACTCTTAATGACTACTTACTTAAACTGACATTTATCAGGATAGAAATAAATTGTGAACATTGCAGAAATCTTCAGTAAATAAATATTTTGATGATATTTTCTTTCAGAGGGTAAAATATACTAACCCCCACAGAAATAACATTTTACCTCCAAGACAGCTGCTTTTAAATCTCCCACTGTTTTTCTCCTATCAAGAGCGAGTTCTGTTTTTGTTGTTTTATTTATTGGACGAAGTGAACCATCGACAAATTCAAACATATCTCCAAAATGAATTTGAAGGCAAATTGTGTTGATTTCAACTTCATATATCTCCCTGCAACAGTAAATTCATACACTTGTACACACATACATCCATGATATATTGATCGTAAGAATTAATTACCAACAAAAGGTGTTAAGTAAGATTGTATAGATCACAAAACTCATAATTATAAGAAACAAGCCACAATTTTCCAATCAATTTCACTAAAAGACAAACTTAGAGTATGTTTCACTGCTGTGTTAATTGTGGCTCTTTGTGATGTTACATTTGAAGCGATTTCAGCCATAAAAGCAATATTAACATAGTAAGTCTGAAAAAAATTACAAAAATATCAAAGCTTAGTGTTTGTTGTGCTTTTACTTGATTGTAAGTGTGATTTTTGTATTTATGTGTCATCATTATTGTTAATTTCTGGTATTGATCGAACATTAATCCCTTCATGTGTAAAGGTGAAGATTTGAATTTTTAAAAAAATTTAGTCAACCAAACTTAGAATGAAATACACTTTTGTCTGTTAACCATAAATCTACTGTGTTCTTTTCACTATTAATGCCCAGAGCTAACAAAAATCTGAAGGAATAAATAAGTGATAACTTCTAAGGCGATTTAGATTAATAAAAACACTACTTACCTTTCGTAACCCAACTCGTAGCCATGGATATTTTAAAATATTGCTGGCCGGACAAGTTACTCTTAATGATATAAATGTGAGTACAATATTTGTATCACTTTAGGTATTGATTGCACTAAGTTATCTGTATGAGAGTGGATTCGTGTTCATGTGTGTGCTGCAATGACGAGTGTTTCACATTGTATTTTTTGTTTGATATATTCGTACTTATGACTGTTTTTAAATAAAAGGTAATGCTATTGTATAGAAACATATAATGCTTTTATCTATTAATTACTGTCATGCTATGCTATGAGACATGTATTAGGTAAATAACCGATAAATTAGGGCCAATCTTTGATGCATAATGTCTCCGTTCATAGAAATACTGCTGAGTTGAACCATCGGATGAGTCTAATATTTCATTGTATCCAGTCAATTTTGACTTATCCTTGCTTTATTGTATAATTCTTCTGATATACCTCTGAAAGTGTAAATCCTCATTTTCCTGGATCACCTCAGACAGAAGGTGATGAGGTAACCGATATGTGGGGTCTCCTAAGGCTGAAATTATAATTGTTTACAGTAACTACACAGTACTATGAATTTAAGAAAAAAAAATGACATTTACGATTCTCAAAAAAATGTGCAACTCTGCACATTTTCCATGAAAATACAATCAAATCCAAAGTTTATTCTCGCCCACATATTACTTCTATGTGTGGTGAAAGATTTGTCCATGACCATTTCCTTCCTTGCATATAAGTTTTCATTTCTGAACAATGTTTGTTTTGCCCAAATACAAATATAATAAAATATCAAACTTCAAGCTACTTTTTTATTCCTGCATTGGCAAAACAGGGTGAAACACAAAATTTCAAAATGAGTAAAAATTTCCTTGTATCTATTAGCATTTTTCTATATAACTATGCATTGTTATACCTTCTGGTGGCCTTATCAAAGATTCTTTCCTATAGAAAAGCATGTAAGCACTGGATTTCCCAGAAAAAGTTTTCTGGATATCGCGTTCTCTGATAGGATGGACTCGGGCATCGTCAAAGTCGAACCAGCAACTTCCAAGTTCAGGCATTGGAGAATGTGTCCTGTTAAATAACAAGACAAAAAGTGTAAATTTCCTACAAAATCACTATAAATGGTTGTTTTACCTCCAAACTGTGATTTTATTTGAGTTATTGCTCCTGAAAAAAATTTCAACAAAATACTACAAATGATTTGCAATATCAAATTAAGAAACACTGTAATATTGCATTTGAAATAATGATCCTCATTTTATACAAGAAATGCAAATATCCTTGAAGACTTATGTGTTACAAAACAGTCCAATTTCATTCATCAAACCAAATCAAAATACATCATTAAAAAACTGTGTCAGTGAAGAAAGAATGACCCTTTTTCAATTATCAAAATTTGTCATTGTAATCAAAATCATCTCAATATCCAGCCCTTAGAGTTTAGGAAAAAAAAAAGATGACTGAATGGCTTCAGATCCATTTATGTTAGCATCAAACACTTTTACTTATAAGACTTTCAGTTTGACTACCCCACCTTTTATTATCGGAGACAGATTCCTCAGGAGACATATCACTAATGGCTGTCAGGCAGCCTCCAGCTAGTCCCGCCTTTTGGACAGGAGTTATCTCCCTTAGGGTTACAAGGTGTGAAGTTGTGTCTATAGCAAATTCTTCATTGTGTTTCTCTAGGAACTGGAAAAAAGGGGTCCCATCAAACATCATACTTAATTATACAATTATTGTCCAGTTTTAATTTTCCAGAAAGAATATGATATGTACTGTAAAACCAGGTATTATCATGAGGATCAATTTCCATGGTTTTACACAAATTAATTATTTCTTGGATTTCTTGGATTATCATAGCTCAGTAAGTCTACTTATACAGATTTTAACAGTTCATGGATATATCAGTACAGATTATGTAAGTATGGAAGCTTATCATTTTATGAAATTAATAATGAACACAGGTAAAAATGTTGTGTGAGTAAAACGTCAAGTCTATCTTTTTTAAGTTAAATATATCAATCACAACGGCCTCGGAGTGTGTGGTTTTTAGTCTTTATTATGTTGTTCATCTACCGGTTTCGCCCTCTTGGGCTGCCTCAGGAACCACCCACTCCGAGGCCGTTGTGATTGATATATTTAACTTGATTTGGTCTATTGATCAATCGCCTTGCACACCATCGGGTATCCCGCTGAGGAGTATAGAAACCACCTACCCACTCAGTTAGAACGAACGGCGTTGGCTCTACCGCCTGATCTCTGTATATCTTTTTTACGTACAACTGTCTAATTGAAGCAAAGAAAGTTTTTGTTGTTCATCTGAAGCGAGTTGGCTCCAATTGTGATCTGTATCTTTTCAATAGCTTTACTAATGTTGAGTCGACATTGCTGTAGCTAGCTTACCTTATGAATGGATCCATACTGCCGTCTGAACCTTTTGTTCCACGATACACCTGTCTGTTTTGTGATTTCCTACATAGAAACAGGGTCAATTAAAGTCAAACATAAAGGGAAACCAATTTTAATATTAGTTCATCATGATAATATTGATTTCTACATCATGTAGAGTTAGTTACAGTTTGACTTGATAATATTGATTTCTACATCATGTAGAGTTAGCTACAGTTTGACTTGATAATATTGATTTCTACACCATGTAGAGCTAGTAACATTTTAACTTGATAACATTGATTTCATATAGAGTCATACTCAAGTTATTATAACTTCAGTTTGCTGGATATGTAATGTATCGGAAATTCACCCTCCTGCTGTGGATTCAGCTGATTAATGTGAAATCATATAATTTCATTGGGCTCAATTTTCAAGAATTTAAAAAAAACTTGATTTCTTTAGTAAATATAGCTATATAAATCTTGTTTATACTATTTTAATAGTTTGTTAATTTTATTAATTAATTCGTTAATTGAGAGTAGCCATGAAATCAATGAAACTAATTTCTCCATAGGAATCAATGATTTTACAGTAGGTATTGAACAGTTTTAGCTGGCATTTATGAATAATATGAATAACAATTAGATATCGGCATTCATAACACCCATGAATGCCGACTAAAACATCTTAATGCTTGTACTTATTGTTTATAATATTCAACTTGCTATATGGAGAGGCACCCTTAATCTATCTACTTGCAATGTTTCTGTTGTGTTGTCTTACGAAAGTTAATTTCTCAAAATAACCGTGCAAATTATGATTATGTGCCTGGATTTGAAATTCAGAAAGTAAGTAGGTGCTTACATAGATCACAAAATATTATACAATGTAGATATTTCTACATAATGATAGATTTATATTAAGAAAGTTAAAAAAAAAAAATATTGTTTGACCTTTATCCATAACTACAACTTGAAACTGATGAGGAACAGTGTACACTTACACAGAAATATCAGTTTTATATTTAACACACTTTCTGGATAGATATTTTACTGGAAACTCCTTAATTCAATTTACATTTTAAAGCAAAGTTTCTGGTGAAATATTCAATTTCTTTTTTGAAAACCACAATGTTGAAACTTTTGAGAAGTATTACACAGTATAAATAAGACTTACAGCACAGATTTTGTCAACAGTGAGTGTTTTTCCAGACGACCGTGTCAGTATGGTGTGTATGAGATCTACTGGTGAGTCACACTCGATGAAGTCTACTTCACCTGTACTGGGATCTGTAGGTAATTGTACTGCCTCCTCTTCCTGTCACATGTTATCATATATAAGTAAATCATAACAAAGCCGTCCATGGATTGATATATATATATATATAGAACTCTTTACATATATGTGATAAAAATGTGGCAGATGATAGGCTTATATAATATCAACAAGAGATCCGAGAGGGATCTTGGCACCTTCAATTGTTTGATCTTTATATGCTCTTTGAAAGTTTGTAGATCTTTTCCCTTCTTTTCTCTTCTCTAGTTTTGCTCTTATTGACAAGACATTTGAACATTCCTTTGCAAAAATCGTAATGGTAATCTTTACCAGCCAAATCCAAATCCAAAGTCAAATCAGTACTTCTTACAAATAGCAATAACAATTATTTACAAGGTAAAAAATTTTTTTTATCAGTCCCAAAATCAAACAGGCACAACTAGGGACCAAGATAACACTACATATGCAATTTGAGAAAGATCCATCCAGTACTTCTCATGAAATAGCGATAACAAAAATTGTTAATGGATAGACAATGGAGGCAGGGTGATTTGAAAATAGCCAACCATCTGATGATGGTGGACTAATAATAGAAAGAGTTGTGACTTGATAACAATAAGACAAACAAAGTCACACATGCTTTTATAAATAAATTTTGAATTTTGCAAATGCTTCAAAATTGAAATACAACTTAAATCTATTGAAACAATATTTGAAACTTTCTGTGAGATGGACCCAAAATTTACAGGGGACCACGATCTTTACAATGACTTACTGGACTGGTCCATTTGCCAAGACCATCTACATCTCGTAGGTAAGCATGATAATGCCCACCATAGGCTCCACCTCTGTGTATTACTATGGAAAACAACTTGTATGTGACGGGTGATGTTGCCTGAAATTGTCAGAATGAAGAAAGCATGTTACATGTAATTCAAACTTTTCCTCTAAGGTATAAAACTATGTCTAAACTTACTCACCCCCTAAACATTAGGTATGTAGCCCTGTTTAAGCTAACTCACCCCCTCAACATTAGGTATGTAGCCATGTTTAAGCTAACTCACCCCCTCAACATTAGGTATGTAGCCCTGTTTAAGCGAACTCACCCCTCAACATTAGGTATGTAGCCCTGTTTAAGCTAACTCACCCCCTCAACATTAGGTATGTAGCCCTGTTTAAGCTAACTCACCCCCTCAATGTTAGGTATGTAGCCCTGTTTAAGCTAACTCACCCCCTCAATGTTAGGTATGTAGCCCTGTTTAAGCTAACTCACCCCCTCAATGTTAGGTATGTAGCCCTGTTTAAGCAAACTCACCCCCTTAACATTAGGTATGTAGCCCTGTTTAAGCTAACTCACCCCCTCAACATTAGGTATGTAGCCCTGTTTAAGCTAACTCCCCCTCAATGTTAGGTATGTAGCCCTGTTTAAGCTATCTCACCCCCTCAACATTAGGTATGTAGCCATGTCTAAAAATACCCAACTCTTCATGGTTAGATATGGAACTGTGTCCAAAGTTGTTCATCTCCTCAATGTTAGGTATGAAACCATGTATAAACTTATTCACCTCCTCAATGTTAGGTAGGAAGTCATGTTTAAACTTACTCACCTCCTCAATGTTAGGTAGGAAGTCATGTTTAAACTTACTCACCTCCTCAATGTTAGGTAGGAAGTCATGTATAAACTTACTCACCTCCATCAATGTTAGGTAGGAAGCCATGTCTAAACTTACTCACCTCCATCAATGTTAGGTAGGAAGCCATGTCTAATCTTACTCACCTCCATCAATGTTAGGTAGGAAGCCATGTTTAAACTTACTCACCTCCTCAATGTTAGGTAGGAAGCCATGTTTAAACTTACTCACCTCCTCAATGTTAGGTAGGAGCCATGTTTAAACTTACTCACCTCCTCAATGTTAGGTATGAAGTCATGTATAAACTTACTCACCTCCATCAATGTTAGGTAGGAAGTCATGTCTAAACTTACTCACCTCCTCAATGTTAGGTAGGAGCCATGTTTAAACTTACTCACCTCCTCAATGTTAGGTAGGAGCCATGTTTAAACTTACTCACCTCCTCAATGTTAGGTAGGAGCCATGTCCAGAGTCTGAGGGAACAAAAATTTGCCAGATTCCTGAAAAAGTAAAAGAAAAAAGAAAAAGTGAAGGTTTTGTGGAAGCTAACACAGATTTCACATGCTATACTTTAATAAAGGATCCCTTGACTTCATCTATTATAATTCATGTTGATCTCACCAATAGGATTACCTGTTTTATCCAGTTTCAACATTTCTTTTTGCTAATCATAAACTAGGGTCTAATTCAAACCCATTTGTTGGTGATTCTGTCACCAATGAGCATAGTACCATATACCAGTAGTTCACAATACTCTGAATTACTGAATGGATAGAATGTTTCCTTGATGAACAAATATTACAGTAATTTCCATCTTACAAGGCAGATGTTTTTTTCATACTTTTATGTTTACCAACCACAAAACAATGAAAAAGCAGTGGAGAGAAGAACTTTTTTATAAAATGTTTCAGTTAGGCTCAACTTTAAAAGTTTCTAAAACAATTACTAAGTGCTCTTTTTTTGATAAATATAGAACAATAAATCTACTTATACAAAGCTTAACAGTTCCTGGACATATATATTTGTGAATAAAGAGTATCCACGAAATCAATGAAAATAAATATCCCATCAAAATTGAAGTATTTACAGTAATATATTACATGTACTTCAAAAGTCCAAACTTCTAGGAGAACTACAATCACTCATTACCTTAAATCGCTGCATCTTTACAAAGTCAAAGCTGAATCTTAGCAGGGATAAGGTCAGAATTTCTGGAAGACTTCGTATTTTTGCTCCCTGAAATATCACAAACATGTGTGTTACAAAAGCTTTCTATTTCGGTCGCTAAAACAAAATAACAACACTGTAAAAATTGTAAAATTGTGTGACCATAAAATCAAACATAAGCTACATATAGTATCTCAATGACCAACATACTGAAGGCTTATCTTATGCCATCTAAAGAAATTAGGGCAAGGTGTCTAGCAATTAGCCTACAATAAGCTGACAACAAATAGTCTCTGACTAGGAAGTGGGCGCATTACAAAACAAGGATATAAAATTTTCTTAAATTCTACAAACAACCAGACATGGTAATTGACATCACAAAATAAGCATATACTATCAACAGTATTTTGTCATACAACAATTCACGACTTATTTCACAGAAAATGTTTCTGGATCTCTACACTAAATCATTTATCTTTAAGCTTTACCAGTGTGCTAGCATGGAATCACTAACCAATGTATTTCAAACGAAAAATGAACACATGGAGTGGAGAAATCACTCAAAGCCGGAAAACTTTGAATGGTTTTAATGTGTTCATTATGTATGAAAGTGATATCTTCTTTTAAAACAGTAAACACTACCAGATGGACCAACAGCTTAAAATTAGAACTATTCTTTGTAACATCAATTAATGTTTTCATGCCTTTTTCCTTCAGTTTATTGAAATCATCATGCAATCAACTATATGAAGTGGAACTCACTTCGTGTCATGTTCTATTTGTCAAATGAAAATGTGATAATGAGCAAAAAGTGACATTAAAAGTTGACACAACTTTTTGAAAGTTTAAACCTGGAAATTAACTTTCTAATGTGCCAAACTGACTTACTTCTAATAGAAACTAACTGAAGACAAGAAATTTGTAATTTGATTTGTAAAACTAACCTTTCTGGCATCGACGAGTTTGTTACATGACTCACATCTGTACTGATTTTGTCCATCCATAGACTCCATCTCACAGAAAGCATTGTGTAAACCATTCTCCAGGTCGCTGTTACCTGCTACAGTAACGGTAAGGTCCAAAAAGTCCTCCTGTGACAAAAAAAAACAAATTATTCATAAAAAATAATCACTTACTAGACATGCTTTTTTCTCTAATGATGATATAGAACAAGTATTGCATCAAAACAGCTACATGCATTTTGTTTTCGGAATTTTTGTGGTAAAAGAAAAATTCTCTCAATTAATACTTCAGTTAAAATTTTCTATCATATCTATACCTACATATAAACCTCCCATATAATGTTCCTCTTCCCATCTTTTGCCTTATTTACCATCAACAAATCTTTGTCTTCCTAATCATTCTTACTTTGAAAGTGTGTTTTGCTCAGAAATTTTGCCATATCACCTTATAATGTCTTTGGATGGACAATTGTTGGCATTATTGGCAATATTATCAGTTTTCTTTGTGTACATGAAATAATATTCCTAATTATTTCTTTCTATAGCTGTCCTAAAACATCACAAAGCTATATATTTAACACAACATATTTGTGTATTAATGAGGAAATCATACATCATTTCATCTTATTATGGTATATTTCACATCACATAAGGAATTTTCCACTTCAGGATCAAAATCATGAAAACATTTTCATTCTAAATGTTCTAAGTGCCAACGATAAAGACATAATTTGAGGCGCAATGGGCACTACTAAGTAGATCAACCATCACATTATATTTTCCTGAATCAAGAGTAAGAAACATGAATTTGCATACTACTGAAATAAAAAGTGAACTTACCTCTCTCTCACTAACTTTCCCACATACCGAGCAAATAATCTGGAACATAAGAATTTATTTTGTAGTGTGGTGAATACAAATATTGCTGTGGAATGTGAATATTACAACAATGTATAATGACTGCCTTTCTGGGATATCCTAGATTTTAACAAGAAAGAGATTGTAGAATATACTTATTAGTATACAATATTTCTGAGATTACTATTGTTAATTAAGAAATTTCAATAATATCAACTGTAGACCATGTTAATTAACTGTTACAAGATATTAGGATAATCTGTTACATTTCCAGAAATCAGACTCACTTCTTACAAAATGACAAATTTACTGTAGATAACTTTCCTTCACATTTGATTTACTTTCACAAATTTTGTTACTGAAGCGAAACCGTGAAAATTAATCACCCTAAATAAGTAACACCTATATAATGAACATGAATGTCCATAGTTAACAATTGTTGCTAAATGATAATGACTATTAAGTTTGAGATCATTCTGATTCTATCTGTACAATACACACACACAGCTATAACACCCATCACAAATCTTTGGTTAAATTATGTGCTGAGGAAAATTTCTTTCATTGAGTGTTTGATTTTGAGGAATAAGTGTTTGGTAAATCAAACACTCTCAGTGATCAGTATACACAAGTCCTGGGACAAATGAGAAATACTTTTCTATACTGACCCATTAAAACTGAATTTACTTATTTCTTTAACAGGTTTTACATCCACTATTAAGACCTTTTGGCCTTTCTATGGACGATTTTTAAAATTAAAAATATGCTATATATGGAATGTTCAATTATTTGCATGATTTCTTTGTGGAAAATACCTGTTGTTGTGCTCTAGTGGAGATCTGCAGTGTTTTTAAATCAAGCAATTGATCACCCTCATATGAAACAAGATGCCACTACATGTTTCAATCTAAGCTAAAACATGAGACACCTAAAGAATTTCAAAGTTTATAAAACTGGTTAATTGCACCACATACTGTTCATATGGCATAAAATACTGTTTCCTTGCTATGAACATGTCACTACAGACATATGTCCCTTTAATGTCCTACAGTAAGCTCACCAGACATGTGTCCCTTTTATGTCCTACAACAAACTTATCAAATGTCTTCCTTTTATGTCCTACAGTAAGCTCACCAGACATGTGTCTCTTTTATGCCCTACAGTAAGCTCACTAGACATGTGTCCCTTTTATGTCCTACAGTAAGCTCACCGGACATGTGTCCCTTTTATGCCCTACAGTAAGCTCACTAGACATGTGTCCCTTTTATGTCCTACAGTAAGCTCACTAGACATGTGTCCTTTTTATGTCCTACAGTAAGCTCAACAGACATGCCCTAATTAGCAACCAAATATAGGGTTCCCTACTTGGTTTATTAGAAATCTGTTGTTTCATTTTAATTTTGAAATGGTGGCTCAGAATTTGTGAAAGTAAGTCATCACTTCGTCACACATTTTGTTTTACAGAAATGACTGAAGATATCTGATTTACAGTAAACTGATTGGCTGCTCACATTACAGGTCCCAGAAAATGACATACAAAAATCACAATCATGATTTAGCACAATTAAACTAAAGCTGCTGAAGTATGTTAACAAAAGAGTATATCTGAGAGGGTTAAGTATGATGACATGTGGAGTCAGTAAGGAATTCTACAGTACCTGATTCACCACCATTCCATGGTAGAGTCTGCTGATAAGATCTGTACCACGGGTACCAACCAGGGAGTCTTCAATAGCACTGAACAGAATCCTGTTCAACTCCTGGACGTCATGTTGCTGCAGCTCCTATAACACGAAATCCCGAAGTTAGGATTTAGGATTAAGGATAATAAGCATATTATCTCATAGATGACTGACAGGATCAGGATTTAGAAAATAATGCATGAAAGACAGAAGAGGGGCACTGATTCAAATTCCTTGGTCCCAAACTTCCTTTTATTGATCCTGATGGAAAGACAAGTTCATCACCAAACAGAATTACATTTTACCGAAAACCTCATATGTCGAATGGTCACACTGTTCATACCTCATTGTTTGTCCATCCAAAACTCTCAGTAAGGTCAACAGTTGGAACACTTTGCTGGTCGCTTAGCAACAGTCTGGCAAAGAGCTTTTGTAACTGTATCGGAATCACTCTCACCTGTGTCAAGATAACATCAGCCAAAAAATTCTTAAATGGATGTTTATAAACTTTAATGCATAACTGACTTTTAATGTCTTTGTTTTTGTTGCTAAATCTTCTAGTCTACATAACATCTGATACTGTAGCATTTTATACTGTGTTTTGTCCCTGTAGAGGTAATCTGAAGTTGAATCCAAATAATGTGGTACATTTTAGTTGTGAAACATTCTAAAAGCTAGCAAGAGTGACAGTAATCATTTCGCAAATTTCTGCATTTTTTTAAAAAAAAATTACCTAATTCAAACTTAATAAAAAAAAAAAAGAAGAAAAAAGAACAATACAAACATAAACTACATGTGCCGTTGTTGATGGTGGCAGTAGGCAATATCATCAATAGTCATCCTTTTGAAATGCAACCTAGTCTTGCCACAGGCAATAGCCATGTCTGTCAATACACCAAGAACTAATTACTTGCTTTTAGTTGATTTTCATGTGTGTATTGACAGACGAGGCTGGTACTTGTGGTCCTGCTACACAAAACATCATTACCCTCATTTACAGGTCTTCATTTCCCAAAGATGAGAAGCAAGAAAATACTATATTCAAAGCTGACAATGCAAGATAAAAAACTTCCATGTTGAAAAAAAAAAAAAATGCTTCAGTAACCTTCCCCACTAAGCTATCAATATCTTTCGATCATTGTATCTAAAGAAGTGGTAAACATTTTAGTCCAAGCCTTGCATGGAATTGGTACAGGGATCCCAGGGTATAAAAGACCAGCAACCTGTCAAACCGGTTATCAATATTTCAATTATGACACAACATAATATATCTATATATGTAAATATATAGAGATAGATATTTGTGTAAGAACATACATATACACGCTTCCCTTTCTTCTTCCTAGTCATGAATGTTGAACACATATTTATGACAAACATATACAAAATTATCCCATTAACAGAAATACACACTTACCGGTATTTACTAGCGATAGAGAGAGAAAGTGATTATAACCCCTGGAGTTTTGAGGATGAGGGTATTTCCAAAACATTTGGGAAACATGTTGTCAGCTTTGAGCCAGGAAGTCAAACCTATGAATTTTCCTCATATGCATCTGTATTTACTCCCTTTGCAATCTTTCTCAAAGCCTTTCATTGTATATATAATTGAAATACAAGTAGAACAAACCTTGCTCCCTGGTACATCCCTCTCCTCCAACTTTCCAAGCTCTTCATCTCCAAGATCAAATAAAGCCTCTGGAAACAAGTTTGAAAAAGATTAAAGGAGTTCATAAAATATTCAACATTTTATTTCAAACAGTGTTGAATCAGATTAATTTTTTTAATCAAACATGCAGCAGTTATGAAATAGATTACCAAATCATTTTTTTTTGTAAGAGCGAAGCTTTGTACCACTTACACATGTAAGACTACATGTTATTCATGTCTAGGACGAGAGGTCCCAAGAACTGATATATCTGAGAAAAATTCTTCAGGAAATGAAAGGTATGGAGCATAGGTGCTCTACACTTTACCTGTAGCTATTAATAATTATAAAAATTCATAAAAAGATATTACAGCATATTCTCTTTCATGAATTTGTTTCACTTACTTTTAATTATGACTAAACATAAAAATGATTTTACACAAAAAAAGTAACATGAATTAAAATTTCTTTGTCCCTCAAAATATCCCATATATAACGCCAAACAACATCACAACGTCACAATATATACACAAGAACACTATATGTCAGTGTCACAACTTTTGTGAAATCAATCACACACTGTAGATTCTTCATTTCTTGAAGCATTAACCAGTTAACCTAAGTCTAATTTATTTTATTGATACTTTCAACTGAGAATTTCATTGTGACATGTAAGATTTGCTTTTTTCCAGGGATGTCTGACTAATACTATAAATATAGATAACTTTTTTCTGCTAAAACAGAAAGTGAAAATTAAAATTCTAGAGAACTACAGTAATATTTGGTCTGTACCTCTGAACTCGGGTGTCAGAAAAAGAGTCTGCAGAAGGGAATTAAGATAACAGGTTGCTCCTTGGTTCCGTATTCCTGCCAATCCACACTGAATTCGAGGACGGGGAGGGCATGGCACAGTCGATTTATTAACTTGTTTCGATTCCGATGGCAATGCACTCCCAACTTGTTCTTCGCCAAATAATCCGGCCAACATTATATATGAAAGTATCACCGACTGACAGCTATGTATATATCAGTTCTGGTATGACATTTGTCAACATTAAAATGGCATCACTACTTTACATCCGAACAAATTATTGAATTATTATTTAAACAGCCAAAATCAACCTCTGTACATGTGCATTGCACAAACTATCAACCATAATAAACTTCCGGTATAAATAACAAAAGTCCCGCAGTAAATATTCTAAAGTCATGGTCGAATACGCCAGTGCGTTCAAAATATCCGGATGTGTATGAGGGCGGAGACTGGTCCATCTTCACTGGTGATATTTACAAGATACAAGAAATTGTATTTTCTGTCGTATACAATAAAACATGTAACATTTACGACAAAACGTAAACAATATAACATAAAGAACAAAATCACAGTAGGAATATTGAAATAAACAGAACATGCGTAATGTATAAGGCATAGCATCAACATAAAAACGAGTTTTTAACTCAACTAAAAGTGAGTTTATGGCACAACTAAGAATAACTAATTAGACATTATCAAAAAACACACACATCCTAATAAAACAAAATATAACACTGAAGGTCTAAGAACAAGTGGTTGGGCCAGTCCCTACCAATCGAATTCCGTGATCACACAAAAAGGAAATGGAAAGCATAATATAAATTTACCATTCCACACATAGTACAAGTACATATGGGACCATCCCAGGTGTGGACCAGCCTCCGGAAGTCTGGAAAGTACTCACATCTCCGCAATTCATTTGGGAGGCTGTTCCACACCCGGGCGGCCTCATAAGAGAATGATTTCTGACCATACCTTGCAGATTTTACACGTGGAATGATGACTGTGTAGTCTCTCCTGAAATCATAAGCAGGCCTTTTTTAATATTCCAAGGACTGTGTGGTACAGTAGAGGTACACGGGATGGAGTTAGATAAGATTATACAGCAAAAGTAAGAAGACTCGGAGGAGTATGTTGCCTTCAACAAACGCAAAAGTTACGCCAGAAAAGTCACCACTGGATCTAGAATTTTATCCTTCAGTTTTATACGCCTCTTATTTTCTTAAGACGCAAAATAAATAAATAAACCTACCCGTTAATCCTCCAACATACTGAACATTTTGTCGATATTTGTGGCGTGTGCAGTATACAATGGGGTTAAGAAAAATACTGCTGTTAAGTAGAAGTCATGAGGTCGTCTGTGTCATGATCAGATCTGGTGAACGTTTGTTCCTTCGTGGGATACTTCTGTAAGGAAGAAGGACTTTGGTACTGGTATACTTTCGACTGTCCATAGTTTCCATGAGATTTTTAAAAGTATAATTAATATATAATTGCAGCATAATAGTATATTTTCTGATTGTGGCATACCGAAATTTTTGTCACAAGATTTACTTAACTGAAATGGCTGATTAATATATCATACATGTATTTTGATGAGATCCATTTGAAGGATTGGTATGCAAAGAAAATCTTTCCAGGCAAATATCCGCAAGTATCCGTCTCCGTAATTTTTTTGTGAATTCTGTTACAAGGTATAAAAAATATTTTCTTTTATTTCAACGATACAGTAATATACATTTTCCTGTTCATAAAATATAATTTTGATTTTTCATTCTATCTCTTTCTTGTATTTTTAAGATCTGATATTTTATTTAAATTTCGTCATCAGTCATTCGCACCGGAAGTGATCTTGACAGGAAAGAAAAGACATCCATGTGTTTTGGCGCTACCGTCATTCATCTGGCATTTCATTGAATATTGACTTAGATTTGACTACATAAGGTTTGTATGAACACATAGTTTTATAGTATAAGTACTTCTGAACATTATCAAATTAGTTTGTTTTTTGATTGTTCGATTTGTGGCCTGATTCCAGATGCTGTCTGTTCACGTGTGTCACCACGCACAGACATTTTTCATTTGCGTGATTTCGCCGGCAGTCGTAAGGCTGGCCTTCAATTTTGAGATAATCGGAAATCTGATGGTTACCCGACAAAAAGAAATTGTTACATCGCCAACAATTTTCATGACTGTTCGTTTTTAATTGAACACGTTACAATTATTATGTTAGGATTATTATTTTTTTCGACGAAACAACACTGACGTCAATATGCACTGGCTAATCGCCATTTTATTCCACACAATAAGCCTGAGTGTAGGGACTCTTCGTCGTGATTCCTCCTGGAGTACAGCTTCAACACTGGATTTTGTGACTTTCATTAGATAAGGTCATTTGTTTTTAATTTTTTTATGATTAGAAAAAATAATAAAAAATAAACAAAACATGAAAATAAAAAATGAATAAATGAAAGTAAATAAATAAAAACAAACTATCAAAAGATTAGGAAACTAATCAAACATTACACAAGGGATGAAAAATTGTTTTATTATATTTTTTTATTTATTTTGAAAACATTTACATTTGAAATATTTACACTAATTAATTAAATTTCTTATTAAGGTGATTTTACTTGAAAGATGATAGTGGCTAAGGGTTTGTTTGATCAAATCAATCTAATGTTTTATAGGTCATAGAATGTCTCTTATAACCAGTTTAATAATAATATCATATCTTATGAAGACTTTGCTCAAATATGTTTGCTATTTTAAACTTTAGAGTATCATGCCATCACAGTTCACTTCACTTTTGATGGCGAGATTATCCTTAGTGATAGGAACAGTCATAGAGAGGAAAAACCAACCAACCAACAACTTTAAAGTAATGTTATAATCTGGACTGAGAAATATATTACTTTCCTCTAACAATACAGATTTTCGCTGATTATCAGATATGTTTACAGGCATCTCACAGTCTGCATTAGGCCAGACAAAAAAATGTTTCCTGTAACATGGCAGGAAAAATTTGGGATTTGTTCGTGGACACAAAAGATTATTCCAATGAATAATTTTATATGGGTTATGTAGAAGCGAGTTCTTGGCTAAACAGTGCTGCTTTGAAAATTGCCATTAAAAGCTTAGGGTAGGCACCATCCACGATACTCCAGGGGTTATGCTGATTTTCACTATCTGCACCCCTGGAACATGTTATGGAACATGATCTAACCCCTGGAGTGTCGAGGATGGATAAGCACCAAATGTTAGGATAGATAGCTGGGTTACAGCAAACAGAAACCATTTATAGTTGATCTTGTTGTGTACACATGATCCATGAATGAATTGCCCACCAAGTCGTCTCTTAGGTTGTAGGATTACGTTATGCTCTACATAGATTCATTATATGAATGGCTTATTAGTTTTGGCTGACAGTTAAAAATGATGAAGGTATATAACATGTTTAATTTTTCTTTGTATTTACAGAATAATCATGCCTTCCGATGCTAAAAAGAAGAGAGATCAAAAGAAAAAAGAGGCTGCAAAACGAGGAAAGAAGAAGCCAACAGAGAATGGAGTGGAAAATGGAGAAGATGGAGAAAATGAACCACAAACCAACGGAGTGGAAACAAATGGTGCAACAAGTAAGAATCTTTCATTTTCTCTGTTTCTGTAATAAGACGAGTCCTGTTAATAATAACTGACGGTTTCTGTTCCCAAGTTCCCCAAGCCAAGCGAAGAGTATGGAACTTGAACCCAAATTAACTATTTTGTCTAGATCATAAAATACCAATGAATCTATGATGGTGAAATGAAATTCTGGGATTTAATAGATAAATTATGAAAGAGAAAAATTACAAATATGAGATGAAGATTGTTTGTTTTTATACTTACCACTAGATTAATTTTTAAAAAGAGTAGGGGATTGGTTAAATTGAGTTTTGACAGTCTAAAGGAAATTTAAAAGTCTATAAAAATAACATTTGTAATCGAATAAAAGCTGTTTCCTCTAGAGAAATTTTCTCATAGTTTCCCAATTTTGTGTTCCTAATTTCCCATCAATAATCATTCAAACGTCTCTATCCATTTCCCAATTGAAAAGTTATAGGCCTCTGAAAAGAAAGAGTAAGAATATCTTTGAATTCATCATTGATGAAGCTTGTGAAATCCACATACACATGTATTTCCCCAGGCCTGAAATCAGGTTAAGATTTTATAAGAAATCACATTTGACAACTTGCTACTAATTGCTAGTCTAATGATAAATCTCCTGCTCCTCAGATGGTGTACATGAAGTAACAAAAGAGATGATGGATATGGACTTAAAAGCAAAATACAGATCTGTGACTGGGGTGTTAGCGTCTCACCCTGACAGTCGTGATGTCCACATCCACAACTTATCTCTCACCTTCCACGGAGCTGAACTTATAGTTGATACTCGCCTAGAACTTAATGTGGGGCGACGATATGGACTTATTGGTCTTAATGGCTGTGGTAAGTTATATCACATTAAACATACCTATTTTTATGTAGTGTGCATACTGTTACAGTAGGCATGTTTTGACCTACTCTGATGAATTCATTTTCTTCTCATTCATTTATAACTAAAAGAAGTGTCTTTATGTGAAAGTACATGTATCCAGTACAAAGAAAATTGATATGAAGCGACCTTCGATATTTTCATATTGTTGAATAGATTTTCTTATATCACAACCAGTTAGAAGATTTATTACAATCAGACTGAAACTTTCATTGTACAATTTTTTTGTAGGAAAATCTTCTTTGTTGTTTGCCCTGGAGTGTCGAGAGGTACCCATTCCTGAACACGTAGACATTTTCCATTTGAGTCGAGAAATGCCGCCAAGTGATAAAACTGCCCTACAGTGTGTCATCGAGGTTGACAAAGAACGCCTCATGCTGGAACATGAGGCAGAAGTCCTGGCCAGTCAAGACACAGAAGGTACTATTTGTCAAAAACAGTCCACCTTTAGGGCGGGGTCCGAGGGATGGTGTGAAACTACTGAAGCCTTTTACTGTAAATACTGAAAGAAATGACCTAGGAATATTGAAATTTCCTTTTTCTTTTAAAGCCGCCAAAAACAAATGAATAGGTTCTTGCCTACCAGAAAATATAATGTAAGGTATTTTATGAAGGAAGGGTATTTAGCTTTTTACAGGTCTTAATTTACTGTTATACTGAACTGTTACTTGATAATGATATATATTGAGCAGTCACTTGATAGTTTCTGTGTAAGTTGATTTAGCAGAAAATCCTGGTTTTCAGACTTGAATGATCAAATTGCTATTCCAATAAACCATCTATCCCATCCGAGGACTCCATGTTTTAATCAGGGGTACTACCCATATAATTTAACTGATAACTTAGAAGTAGTAAGCAGGAAACCAAACTATCAGTATTTTTGTGATCTATTTCAGAGCCCTGTGGTTAAATAGATGTTTTTCTGGAATAGTCCTTAGAAATTGCTGGATTTCAAGACTACTCATTTTTAAATACAATAGCCCTTGACAAATGTATTTGGTTATCTGCATTTGGCTAACTCTGTTTTTTGTCTTCAGAGTCCCATGAACGTTTGATGGATGTCTATGACCGGTTGGAAGAAATGGATGCTGACAAAGCTGAGACTCGTGCTGGGTATTTACTGCATGGTCTAGGTTTTACCAAAGAGATGCAGCACACAAAGGTGAAAAATTTCTCTGGAGGATGGCGAATGAGGATAGCCCTGGCCAGGGCTCTGTATATCAAACCCTCCCTGCTCCTTCTTGATGAGCCCACTAATCATCTTGATCTCCAGGCATGTGTCTGGCTGGAGGAAGAACTTCAACAGTGAGTTTCATGGGGCCTTAACAGCAAAACAGGGAAATGCTATGGCGTGGAAAATCATGTGAAAAACTATGAAACAGATTTTTCGCTCAATTAATGAGAGGTTTCATTTCTGATCTTTTGTGTTTTGGAGAGTCAAGTCTTCAACAATAAGACATCATTCTGCAGAATTTTTATCATGAATAACAATATGTATTTTATAACCTTTGTTTCTGACTTAATGTCCTCATTTTCAGGTACAAAAGAATATTAGTGGTGATATCTCATTCCCAAGATTTCATGAATGGTGTCTGCAACAACATTATACACTTTCATCAACAGAAGCTGAAATACTACGGTGTAAGTAGAGGAGTTAGCACAGTGATAGAAAACCCTAAATTTATAATTGTATTTTGTTGATGAATTGGAGCTTTCCTACAGACCGAGTCTGTTAAAGAATCTCAAGCTGAGGATTTAAATTTTTTTAACAAATCATATGACTAGTATGAGGTTACTGGTAGTACTGTTAAATTAATTAACTTAAGGGGATTTGTTTTCCTCAATCATGTGCATACTCTTTATCAACAAATACGTTGGTCCAAAAATTGTGAAAATAAGTAGAAGTAGATTCATTGAGCAATATTTATCCATGAAGTTTACGAAAAACCACTAAAATATATGATTTTACTGTAATCAGACTTAGCTTCTGCTTCCTCAGCGATTTGTAGGCTCTCTTTTATGCTGATTGGTCTGATTTACATTTTTTGTCATGAAACCTGATTATGTGGTGTCACATGTCCTATGGTGTGATATCACATTATTATGTCATCTGCTTTGGTTGACACTTGAGGAAGGCTGTCTTCCATTTTGGGGTTAAAAATTCATATTTTCCACCAATAAAAAATATACAACTTCAAAAGATTGAAAAGTCCTTAAAAGGGATCAGAAATTTATCATTTTACCAGTATGCCGAAAAAGTAATAATTGTGATAAATATTCATTGTGCTAAATTAAGTATGTTTACAGTACATTGCTGTTGAGATTTTTAAAACATTTATTTATTTCATCAATAAGATATATTTTCTTTTTGTGTTACCAGGGTAACTATGATGCTTACGTTCAGACGAGATTTGAATTGGAGGAAAATCAGCAGAAACGGTACAAATGGGAACAGGACCAGATTGCTCATATGAAGGTCAGACTTTATAGGCCTTGTATCAATCCTACTGATTTAAGGTTCTGTCATTGCATTGTAGCGATGTCATAAATTTTTGTTCATAAAGAGTGAAAAAGATATTAAACACCGGACACGTAATAACAGAATTTCACATAGTCACTCACAAGGAAGGAACTATGATGACATAAAAGGCCGAGGTAGAGTGTCTTGCTCCCCGGCTTTGTTGGGTTGTAGCTCTGACACGGTGCTCTAAACTCGGAAGCGATTTAACTATTTCCTGAGTTCCTAGACTGTTCAGAAAAAAATCTTGCTATTTAAAACCTTCTTGTTTGACTTCCAGCAAAGTACGTACAATTACTGCTATCAGAACAGACAGTGCTTTCATTGTCATGAATCACTCAAGTTAATGTCAGGATTTGTATTGAAAGTCAAACTTCAATTATTCCAAGTGCAAGGGACTAGACAAAAAATGTAACACATCAAGATTTTGAATCTTTCATGGTGGGATATATCAACATTTTCATGTTCATTATAGTTGATGACACAATATTTATGCCTGCATAAATGCAACATATACCAAAACACAAATTTAATGAAAAGACAGATTTTTCTATCTTAAAACTTTGTCATTCAAAATCAACAAGAAATCGACAATGCATGCTTACATTGACATTTTTCTCTAATAGGTAAACACATACATGTTTATATCTACAATATCTGTATTTTACAGCTTGATATTGAACAAAATAATGTGCGTCATAGGTGTCATTGACTATTCTCATTGGTAATGGTCTGTGACGTAACTTTGATACATCGAAAAGTTAGAAAGTCAGGGATAGGTTATCAGTATTATATAGGAATAAAATTCAGGATCAGGCAAAAAATTTGATACATCAAGAAATTTGAGTCATCAAACTTTAATTCCTAGAGGTTTGACGGTAGTTACTAAATGTATATTGTTTGTTGATCTAGTTAAGATTTTGCATTAAAAAAAGAGATACACTAAAATACAGTTGATATCTATTGGTAAATAGATATTGAGGGTTATAGGGGTCACAAGTTTTGAGAGAAAATCACACCAAGAAATATTGACACACTGGACCCTGATAAACATGTGTTTATGTCCATATCCAAGAATTCCTATGCTTCAAGAACAATGATGACATAAAAGGCCGAGGTAGAGTGTCTCGCTCCCTGGCTCTCAGGTTGTAGCTGTGACACGGTGCTCGAAACTCGGAAGCGATTAGATTTTATACCCTGAGTTCTGAGTTGAATTCACTGGAATTGGTACAATTTAAATTATAGCCTTGTGGTCTTTGTATGTAATTATTTTCTGAAAAGGGAAAAATAGTGTTATCTTTCTCACTTAAATCTTTTAATTGGACAGGTTTGACTCTTAGTCATTGTCAACTAGTGTATTGTTATCTCAGAGTCCCAAAGAAATCATTCCCTGTGTATTGCAGATCACCTTGAGTAGAGAGCATGAGAGTAGCAGTTAACTGATCAATACATGTGAGAGTGGAGAAGAAAGCCTGCTTCTCAGATTTTCAGTCAACCAGTGTGATGAATAGAATTTTCAAAGGACTATGATGAAACCTGCTTGGATTTACTACTGACTCGAGAAAATGCCAAGTGAAAGCTCGCATTAAAATCACTGATTTTAATGCTGATGTTTTTAACTTTGGCGTCATGCTCGACAAAAGAAGCGATTTGAGTCCTACTACAGTGATCAGATTTATTAGCTATAGAGAAGGTTGTTAAAAGAATCAGAGCAGTCTTATTTCTAAGTATGATCTACTTGAATTGTTGAAGTTTTCTGTGTGTTTATTGGTATAATCTCTGCTCACAGAATTACATTGCAAGATTTGGACACGGTAGTGCAAAACTGGCCAGACAGGCCCAGAGCAAAGAGAAGACATTAAAGAAAATGGTAGATGGAGGTCTGACAGAGAAAGTTGGTGCAGATAAGGTAAATATAGATTTTTAGCAATAAGAAAGTTAACTGTATTATGAAATCCATATGAAATGAAATTTCAATGGATATATTCCTGTACATATTTTAAGTGAATTTGATTAAAATTTTTTTAACTGTAGAATTGAATCAAATTATAAGATTTCATTAGTTTTTATTAGTTTAAGTTCAGCTGCATATTTCCAGTTTCATGGTTTACTTTGAGATGATACAACAATGTCCTGAGTAAACATTGAAACATTTTGTTGAAGAACGGACCAAATCTGCCAATCTGCCAATGAAAAAAAATTGTATGGAGTTCTGTTATACAAGACTTCTGTTACATTAAAATTTGTTTTACAGACCATGTCATTCTACTTCCCAAGCTGTGGTAAAATTCCACCTCCAATCATCATGGTACAGCATGTCAGCTTCAAATATGCAGATGACAAGGTAAGAATTCAGCCAAATCCTATAACTGTCACAGCAATGAACCATCTTGAAACACAAGAATATGAAATTAGTATTTATCTTACGTTGTTCACAAGTTCAATAATCAACAGAAGCTCTGTAAAGCCTTTGTTTGCTGCTAACGGAACAAATGTTGTTTTGGATGTTTGAGCGGGGAGTGGGGGGAACCAAAGTGCTATTAGTGAGGTAACAACACAGCATGTATCCCCAAGATTTCCCTGTTAGAGAAATTATTCTCCTTTATACAGAATTCTTGTGCAATAATGTGATGTGCCAATGATTGAAAATTAAAAAAAAAAAAAATGATTTGATAAATTGAAAAAAAGATTTGCTTGTTGAATATAATAAATGATTCTTCTACATGAAATTTAGTTTCATAAGATATCATAAGAGATGGTATTTTCATCTGAATGTATTGAATTTTAAGCCGGAAATCTACAAGAACCTTGATTTTGGGATTGATCTTGACACACGAGTAGCCTTGGTAGGACCAAACGGTGCTGGAAAATCTACGCTCCTCAAGCTGATTGCTGGAGAGGTAAGCCAATTCTGATTATGTGTTAAGTTACTGTTTTAAACTCACAATTAGTTTACATCAGTAGTATTCTTTGGCTTCAGTCCCTGACTTTTTGCTTTCGAAGTTTTTCTAGAATTTCTGCAATTCATTTATATGTCCTTTATTTTTACCATGTTTCTCTTCACAGTTAATACCAACTGATGGACTTATACGCAGACACTCCCATTTAAAGATTGGACGTTACCATCAGGTTTGTAAATTTACTTTGAATGATACATTGTAAAGGGTTCAGATACTTAAAGGAATTTGCAAATCGGACCTCAACATTTCTTAGATGGTTTAAAACACAGCATTTGAAGACCAGGTGATCGTAAATGTAGAGAACTGGATCTATATGACTTCCTCTGTAATGAGATTTCAGTGCTGTTTACTAGAACACATGTAAATAAATCAAATACTGTGAGAAGTCAGAAAAGAAAAGCACTGAAGACTTGTTTAAATCGCCAGCATCAATATAATGAGATGGCCATTAGGATGATTAATGACCTTAGTAATTATATAAAATATTATAATTATTGATTATGTTTGTCAACATTTTTACCATTTCTCATTTGCATATGTAACCCATATCACAATGTGTAAATAACTTTAATGATATTGTCATGTCATGAAATTTGCTGTATTATATCATGGTGACGCTATCACAAATACCTGTTTGGCTGTCTTTGCTATGAGTTATCAGTATAATAGTATACCTGGTAATCATCATACATTATCACAAGTTTCAAAACTCAGTAAGTAAGGCAGGATTTGCTCTGGGCGATAATTATTATTTATAATTTTTGTCCTCTTGTAAAGTATGGATTTCTTTTCATATTCTATGCGTTGGGGATGCCTTCTAACTGAAATTCTGTAGGGTTGTCTTCTTAATTCATTTTTCCTGATCAATTTCGTAATTTTCTTTGATTAAATTTAATTGAGAGTTGTTAATTCTGACCTACAAACTTTTGTAATTGTATCATCATAGAATAGGAAAATTTCTAATTATATTTGTCCCAATACTCAATATGAAATGTTGTGTTTTCCAGCACTTACAAGAACAGTTAGAACTAGACATGTCTGCTTTGGACTGGATGCTGAAATGTTACCCTGATGTGAAGGAGCGTGAAGAAATGAGAAAAATCATCGGACGCTATGGTCTTTCAGGCATGCAGCAGGTACAGATACCGTACACATTTAATCACTCTTAAAAACCTCTGGTCGTTAACCATTTTACTCCTCAATATTTATTGGTTTTTAGATGATACACATAAAATTGCACACTTGGCATGTGAAATGAAATTTATATTCCAGATGTTTTCCTCTTTTTTTTTTTTATTTCCACACATGCATTTCAGAAACGATGTCTAGAATGTGCCTTTTGTTTGATTGTTGTAGGTGTGCCCCATCAGAAATCTGTCGGATGGCCAGAGATGTCGTGTGATATTTGCATGGCTGGCATGGCAGAATCCTCATCTGTTGATGTTGGACGAACCTACCAACCATTTGGACATTGAGACCATCGATGCTCTGGCAGAAGCCATCAATGACTTTGAAGGAGGCTTGATGTTAGTTAGCCACGACTTCAGACTGATATCACAGGTAGGCATAAGTACAGGTCATCAGCAAAGATAACCAAGTCAATTCAACTTGTAAAGAATTTTTTTATCATACAACATTGTAAATTTATACTGACCTTGGTATAAGTGAACAGCATAGATAAGTAAGTCTTTTTGATTTGTTGAAAAAAAAATTTGAAGTATCTGTCTGTGGTAATTTTGTAACATATTTTTTCCTGGTCCCTTATTCTACCAAGGTTAGCTATTATCTGAGATACCCACACTACTTAATCTGTAACTATCAGTGGAATAGCCCTTACAACAAATCAAGTGCAGCTTTATGTCCGAGAAATCAGTTTCAATGTTTGATGTTCATGTCGCCTACAATGTGATATGTGGGGACTATTCCTGTTGTGAAGTATGTATTGGGAACTAGGTTATAATATCAAAATTCTTGTCAGAAATTGTTGGACTAGTTTCTTGAAAACAAGTTCAATTTGTAAAGGAATATTTAATATGGGCAAAAAACGACAAAATGCTTCTAAATATCTCATTTGTTCTAAAATTTTTGTGGTTCACTGTGGATGAAAATTACAACAAAATGCACTTTTGAACATTAACAGGCTGATCACAACACTGTAACACTATAATTTGATACAATATAAACATGTATAATATATGAAGGTTGTGTTACGATTTATCACATGATTACAATTACTGGTGCTCAGGTCTATCAAGTTGTCTATTATTTTTTGTTACCCGAGATTACATTCTGTGATAGATTTTCCTGTTAACTATCCAAGGTATTCTAGTGAAACATAAAACCATAAACAGAATCAGCAAAGGAAACAGTTCACATTCTGATTTTATTTCTTTTCTGCAGGTTGTAGAAGAAATATGGATTTGTGAAAAACAGACTGTTACAAAGTGGGAGGGAGATATATTCTCCTATAAAGAAAAGTTGACACAAATTGTGAAGAAGGACAATGCAAAGCTTGCAAAATTACAGCAGACACAGAAATCGAAATGATGACGGCTGTTTTTAGGCACTGAATTTAGGACTAGTGTATCTGTGTCATGGAAACAAATGAAATCTGTTTCGACTTTTTGTCATTATGAATTTGATTGTATTTGAGGACATTTTTGGCAAGATCTGTGATGTGATAGCACTGAGAACAATTGACATGTGGACAGTACAACCAATTTTTACCTGATCATACTTGAACTGTTAGCGATATATACATATGTACATATCTGCAAATGCAGCAAAATTATCTTTTTTTCTTCAACTCGAATAGACTGATTGAATAGTGTGGTCAATGAATGAGTTTAAGTTAAATAAAATATCAGAAGTTGTTTAACATCAGCTTGTCAAAATACAATCTATTGTGATCTTACTCCAATTTAGGAAGACAATTTCTGCCTTAAATAAGCTTCTGAAAGAATCATTTCTAAGCATTTACACATTTTTTTTTCTTTTTGCCAATAGTAACTTTCTTGATTAAGCAATAATAAAAGTAATTTCTTTTCATATCACATTAATCTTCAGCAGAGTTCTGTCCTAACACTTCAGTTGTGAATCTCTATTTAAAAAAAAATATGATAAATATCATAAAAAATACTGATTTGTTTGTTACATAGAAAGTTATATTTTTATTGAACAGATTTATTCGATGATGTTAGATATCCGGTCGTTCTCCGTCAGTACTTCTTTAAGAATGTTTTTATTTATTTTCATTTGTAAATGATCCTCATTGAAATATATACTGACATTAGATGCTCTAAAATTTGAGTTTTTTCCCAAAAAAAATATGTTGAAAAAAGAAGAGCTGATTCAAAATGAGGTTATCACAAATTACTGAAATTATTGGAAATCTGTAAATGATCCATAGGTGGGTGATTCTTGTAGGTTCTGCTGCAGTAATGAAGAGTTATCTGTCCTTGTTTCATAATTTTAATACATTTTTCTTTTTATAGGGTTATATACAGAATATGCTAGAATTTGAAACAAACAAATATGAAATATATTTAAAAAATTTTCAGTTTATGGATGTGTTTATGCAAAGCATTATTGAAATGGCAAGAATTCACATTTGTGTTTCATACGGATTTAGTTGTTGAAACATAGATAACACAACTGTAACTGGTATTGGCTTTACATTCAGCAGTTTTGCAAACTTACGTCATTGTACTGTTATCTTCATTGAAGCCTTCTTGTGTCATCAGCATGTTAACCTGCATTTTTGTGTTTTGATAGGTTTTAATTGAATTATGAACTAAATTATTAGTCCTTATAACTAGAGACTCAATTTACCAAGTTGTTATGCTGAAAGACAAAAGATATGAAAGATTGTACAGAGTTTTGGACACTTCACCAAAATGATCAATTATTGGGAAGGTCAGAGGTGATATTACTTACATTGCACCAATCAATGAGGGGATGAGTACTTAATATAGCTAAATGCTCTTTAACTTGGTGCATGTAATTTTGGGCTCTTGGAATCATATACATGTGTTTTGATATATGTATTTGTATATATGCAATGCATTTTAATGGCACTGTCATCTCTTACCACATGAAACAATTTTTTGAATTTTTTTTCCTGAAATTTTCATATCTAAAAATTAAAGCTTATCAGCTGTAGCTCAAGAGCTATAAATGCACAAGAGATGAAATGCTACCTTCAAGCCCAATGATAAACTTGGAACTTTCTTCCCATTTTTCAAATCCTTTTACTGTTATAGTTGATGCTTGAATGAAAAAGGATGCATTTTTCAGGGAAAACATCAAATGGGTTTAAGCTTCCTTTTTTAATTTTATTTTCATCGTATCAGAATTTTTTTTTTTTTTTTTTTGCACTTTTATTCTTTTCTTGAAAATAGCATAAAATAGAACCATTTGAGAAAAGCAACTTTGACTAAAGTTTTAGGCTACAAGCAGTTTGACTGATCTTTTTAGTTATTTTAGGCATTTTTTTTTAAGACCACTGCATAAGGTTGATTTTTTTTTCAGGTCATTGGAATTCAATGTTTTGTAATAAAATTGTTTGTATTTATTGGCAGAACAATCTATGCTATTGTTTGATGTTTTATTGTTATAAATGAAAATATCATGTGAAAATAAATCAACAAACGAAGAAAAACTGTTATATTTTTCCTTTCTTGCTTTCTGTCCTTTTGTTAGTCAGTATAATGATAGTGATATTGTATTGAGTAATCCTGTTCACATTTCAGAGATTTATTTCTCAATATATTCAAAATAAACTACTGGATAGCTTTAATCAGGAAATTTAAGTGGTTTTAATGACTCAAGTCACCTTGACCTCGGAATCCAGAGGTTGTATTCTCATAAAATTTAGAATATAATGCTTGGATTTTGAAGCTTTTGGTGAGATAACCTATATAAAAAATCTGGAAACAGTGACCGTTGACCATTCAACCTTAACAGATGACAAAAATAATATCTGGTGTAAAACTTATTTTACTTGTGAAGCCCTGGTGTATCATTCTCAAATTTTCATATTTATGTTTGCCTTGGTTCCTAGTTGTACATGGTCTATTTTTGAAATTGTGAAAAAAAGGATGATGTCCAACATAGTTTGTGTAATGAAATGACCTAGATCCTTATTCAAGGTCACACAGGTCAAATCTGGTAAAACCTTCAGACAACTTCATCTAAATTACCTCAAGACCTAGAAGTATATATTTGACTGGTAGGTTCCTAGGATGGAGCCCAACAAAGTTTGGGAAAAGAAATTACCTTGACCCATATTCAAGGTCACTTGGATCAAATATTTTAAACCTGTAGAAGATTTCTTCTGATTAACCAAAAAGTCCAAGAAGCGTGACATTTGGTGAAGAAGTATTTCTAGGTCAAAGCCTAACAAATTTTGAGGAAAATAGAAATGGCAGTTACATGAAGTCCAGGTCATGACTGTCACTGTTGAGAATTAAGTATTAGAAGCTCCTTTGTTGTGAAAATTGGTTAAAATGGATTGGATGTGCCCACTTTGAATGCCAATGGTGTCTATGTCTACATATTTGTGATATTAACACTGATTCTATTTTTGATGAACAATGAATACGTTGTGAGCACTGAAGTCCTATTTGGATTCTTGTTATCATTATATCTGAAGCAGGACTGATTGGAAAAACAAGATGCCTGACAAGTGACCATCATGGATTTTGACAAGGAAAGATCTTTATCGCTAATTCTCAAGAAGTTTTGGATTAAACATTCCTCAATTTAGATAAAAGCATAAGGTGCCCTTAGTCTCTTGTTGGGGCCTTTTGATTCTGTACAGATCCAAAAAACAACATGGCTGACAAGTGACTCTTTGATTTTGACAATGAAAGTTTGGTATTGCTATTCTTGAGAAATTTGGTAGATAAAAAACATCAATGCTATTTCTTTACTGAAATTTTCAAATATAGATTAACAAACACAGGGAAAGTTAGAAAAGATCCAAATTTTATAGAAAAAAGATCAAACGGTGGGCACAAAAGTCCACCTGGGATCTGTACGAAAATTATTTGATACTTGGAATCAAATTAGGACAGAATCCTGGCATTCCTATTGAAGGATTTTCTGGACTTTTTTTATTTTCACTGTGTGTTCCTGTACCACAGAGACTTGGCATGAATTCCCATCCTGCAGCCCATACCAGAGTAGAAGAAAATGAAGAGATTTTTAAAAATGTTTTTGATATTCTAAGGGCCATAGATCTTGGTAATATGTACATTACAATTAAAAGAAATGTTTTATCTTTTTGAACAAGATTGTCAAAATTATGACCTTATGAATTCAGAAATATATATGGAAATGACTAGGTAGATAGTTCCCTATCAAGGTGAAACTAATGGTACCTTTAATGTTTTATGTCTCCTACATCAGAGAAATTCCATATAACTATCTAGCTCACATTCTTCAACCACCTTCTCTTGAATGTCACCAATGATTGTTGCTGTTCCTCCTGAATTTTTAAGAACCTCCTCTCTCCTGCTAGAGATCTACTGCTCACACATAACCGAGTCCACTTCCCCCTAAGAATGCATCTGACAAATTTGGTCCGAATCCATCCAGTTAATCATGCCTGGAAGCGATTGGTACAAAATATTGACCGACACCAGATTGATGCCACACCAAGCTCATCAGTGCTTTCATTTTGGCCATTCTGGATATTGAGTTATCATTGTTTCTTGAGAAAATTAAGAATAGATAAAAAGATAGAAGAGAAATGAAAAGATTGAACTTTTAAAAGAGGAATAACCCTACAATTGTGGATGCAATGACCCTATGAAATATTGGTTCATCTGACTTGATCACAAAGACTTGAAGTGTTGTTTCCATGAATTGTGACTTGATTTGAAAATTTTTGATGTTGGTTATGTCTTTTGTCTTTTCCTTCTTTACTTTGTACTTTTTTACAATCTCTTTTAAGCATTGACATGACATGCTGTTGCACTCTTGTTATGACATATGAAGTTTAGTTTACCACAATTTCTAATAAGCAAAAAAGTACTCGACATGATCTGCTGCAATCTACGTTATGTGTTTATTTAAACTGGAAGCAAGTTACACGCCCACCTTTTATTTTGATATTTCAATTTTTTCACCAGTGACAATTTGTTTCTCAGGGAACTGAGAAACCAACCAGTCTGTGCCGACATTGTTGTGTCCTTTAACAATACACTTTACATTAATTGTGTAGGATGGCATGCAACAGGCTACATGTCCAAGTCACCTCAAAATGACTGGCTATTGATAGGATGATAAACTCAACAGACACTTCAGTACATGTCCAAGTTGAGTGTAAAGTAAGGATCCTGGTTGTGCAGATACATATTTGACTGGATGTATCACTGTTAGCCCAAAAGGTAATTTAACTGCATGGACAGACTATATCCCAAGAAAAAATGTCGTAATACATAACGACATTAATTTCACCATATTCAATTAAAGTGTAAGGAAAAAAAGAAAAAGGAAACAAATCATCTTGATGGTAAATACAATTTCATTTAATGACGGAATAAAAAATGGAAATTATGTCAGTACTGATACAATGTGAAAAATGATGCATACAAAATGTTCTACACATTTCTTATCCAAGAGCAAATAAAATAGGCAGCAACAAAACAACCACTGAACCTGTCTTCAAATGTCTGCTCCCCCACAGATTTACCTCCCCTTAGCTCACAGATTTACTTCCCCTAAGTCAAAATACTGAAATCTATTTTCCATTTGGTCCAACCATCAAAATCTTCTCCTTTTGACATCAAGGTTAGATGCCCTCTCACTACAGGTCTTTGAACCAATGCTAACAAGGATCTCGTATTTCTGATTTTTGTTCTAGTCACATGATACTTGGTTCCAAGCCAATTTTGTTTCCATGGCAATTAAATCCAGGAACATCCATGCCTGGCAATGTGGGAGTGTTAGAGTAAACAAAAACATGGAGAAAGCATGATCCTTTATTCCAAGTCGGGAAGATCTGTAATAAAAGAGAAGAAATGGTTTCAAGACAAACTCTGCAAAACTTTGAACATTATTTTCAAAAATAACTCCATTAAAGCAGTGATACAGATACACATATAGATCTTAACAATCAGGAATTGTATGAGAGTATTGGAATTGTTTTAAATAAAAAACATTAAAATAATAAAAAAAAACTAATTAAAAAAATACAGATTTTTTCTCAGTTAAGTTATACCTTAATGAAGACATGAAGATTTTTTTCAAGTTTATACATAATATCAATGATAATGTTCTTTTAGAAATTCAGGTACAATACTTAACCAGGTATTGTGAAATGAGAAACACATGCAGTTCTTTACTTATCATGCATTGACCGAGTTCTCTAGTTATTTAACTTTACATGTGATCTCAACACTAAATCGGATGCTGAAAATAAGGAATTCTACCTACCGTCATCATCACTATCTTCACTCATACCATCTTCTTCTTTGGCATCCTGTAAAACAGAGACCAGAAATTTCTGAAGTGATCATTTTAATATTTCCTATTTTCTGTTTACCGCATATAATATTGCCTATAGTGCTGTAAGGATAAGATAATGACACAATGCCATATGCTCAAAGATTAAATTCTGACATCACAATGGAGACCACTGGGTTGAGAGAACTTCACACTGACATGAAGAAAAATATGTTTTCTACAAAATGTGGCAAAATACTGTGATAGGTAAAGAATGTGAAATTTGTTTCCACTTCAAAAATTTTTCATATCCTGTCATGTAAAATAAATCAGATATGAAACAAAAACCTGTGTGAATAGTGAATTCACCTCCTACATTAAATCGTATATTTCTAATGATAACTATAATCACCACCAAAATCACTATACAACTTTCCACTCAATATGTAGGACAAAAACAAACTGATGACCTCCAACGCGTTTTACTCACCATGCCTTCTCCCATATTGCCGCCCATTCCTCCCATATTTTGCATCATCTATGAAAAGAAAGAAATTGTCTCAAAATTAACAAGTAAATCAACATTTTATCAGTGTCAGAATCTTATCAAAGACACATCTATCAGGTGATAATCCACAATATTGTGTATTTTTATGTTAAGATGGATGCTTTGGCCTGTCCTATTGGCATAGGTTTCTTTGTTAGACCTCGATTAATTTATGTTCTACATATATTGACAGTGATCTAATTATATCAACCTGTCATTTTCACAACAGCATCAAGATATTTTGGCAGCAGAATATATACATTTATATGAATACACAAAAAAAAAAGATGGGGGAGGGGGCAAATATGATTCTGAAAAGCATTCTTCTCCTTTAAATAATCTTTTTCAAATTCAGTTACTGCAATTTACCATTCAACCACCTGATCATACCAATATCACATTAAAGCATTTTAGTACAGCACAACACTGAAATGAGGAGATGCATTATAATCGATTGAAAAGCCTTATAACTTCACCTGTTCCAGGTCCATTGGTGAATCTTCTTCATAATCTGATTCATCTTCATCTTTCCACTTTGCAAAGTCAGTCTTTATCCAATGAACCTATGTAAAAGAGATATCAGATCCATGTACTTTTCTCAACTGTACATTAATATTATTTCATTTATTTCATTAAAACATAGCACTGTAAATGGCCTAATGCTACTAGTCCTTCAAATTCAAAATTCTGCATGGTCTGATTTTAATATACCTCTATTTTATCTATTCTTTATATAAGTAACTACTTCAATCAATCATGTCCTACTTTAGCACAGACTTCACATGGCTGAGTCTGAGTCTGTAGTCTGAGAACTTAATCTGCAGAACTCGTATGTCATATGAAAATACAAAAATTGTGAAAATAAACTGCTACCAGAGGTTCATATTTTTAAGACTTTTAACTGTACAGTAAATTGTTCATGAATTCTTTTTTTTTGTTTCTGGATTTTTTTTTCAAATAAATTTTTTTTGCATAGGGATTGTCCAGCATGGTTGATATAAAAAGATTTAAACTATTTTACCTTTTTTGCATCTTTTGTTAATCGTGGCCAGAATTCTCCATCATCTTTCTTTTTTATCACACATGGCACATTTCTTGGTAAAACCTTGTACTTGGAATCCTGTTGAAAAAAAAAGGTCAGTGAATTTATTAGCATTTCTGTTGTTAAACGATACAAAATCTAATTTCTAAATTACTGTCATGAAATAATACATCATGACACATTCGAAATGAAGGGCCTTTCAATTTCCACATAGCTCGTCTACAGTTCCTTTGAGCAATATCCTTTTTGGCAATTGAAAGCATTTTCTAATTGCGTAGTCCCTTTCATAATTACCAGTCTTGGTATAAAATCATCAAAAGTGTGCAATACGCCTGAATAAATAATTGTTTTTTTTTTTAAGTTATCCAATCGGATACCTATCTAGTATCTACCATATTAATTCATATTGGCTTCAGAACCATGAATGACAAAAGTTCCTTAATGCATAAAAAATGTTTCACCAAAGTTTTTGGTGCTTCATTGTATCATAATGAGTTCAGGCTCATGTATCCAGCAAGCCACCAAATTGTGATAGTACTGAATGGTTTCATCTGTATTTCAGAATGACCTGGTAATATCATTGCTGAATGATTTAACTAACAACAATGTTTTAACAAATTGCCTATTGAAAAAGTTATTTCATACCAGACCCCAGTATAATAATGCAAGAACAGTGTGCACAAAACTTTGCTCAGAATTACAAGCCCAAAAAAGAAAATTCCTCAAATGTTCTTACCAAGACTTCAACATGTTTCTACAAAACCATTGAGATTTTCAGAGTGCACATGGTCGGATGGCAAAATGAAACACATTTACCTTTCACAAGAGGGAAATCAGGTTCAACACCCCCAAAGGAAATTAAGATGTATGGGGTCACCTTCAAGACCACATTGGTTTTTCCTAGATACTGCTGTGTTTCACCCACAGGTTTTCATCCAGGCCAACAAAAGTAGTTACTTTCAGTGGATATATACCAAATTTGTTAACAAATAAATATACAACTATACAGTAGTAATACAATCAGTCCTTTACTTCTTTACTGAAAGTATGGAAAAAGTGGTTTAGGTGTTTTGTAATTTTTTCCCCCTTATGCAACTCTAAAATGCAGAGAATGTGACCAAAGTAAATCTCAAAATACATTAACGTAAACCATATGCAACTAGAAACTGAAGAAGTCTGAAATTCTGTAACAATGATAGCTAAGACATTTGTACATCATACTTACACTAGGTATAACTTCTTTATAAAAATCTATTTTTACTTCATAATCCTTTTTCTCTGGACCACCTTTCCCTCTGAAAAAAACAGAAGATATAGTAAATAGTCCATGAAAACAACTTATTTCAATTTATCACGTTAGATAATATTTTCAAAGTTTTTAATTCAGTTGTTTCTTCACACCTACCCAAAGTAAAAGGAATTTTCATTTATTTCAATCTTTGTGTCTGAGCCGTCTTCCAAGTTGATTGTGAGGTAAATTTTGTCTTTCCTCTGTGCCCAAACCACGGCAGCATGGAGGGGTTTGGAACTGAAATAAACAAAAACAAAAAATTGCATGTTTCCCAATAAATTACAACAAACAAGAGGCCCAGAGGGCCTGTATCGCTCACCTGGATCTTTATGACCAACATTACTATATCTGCATATGTTACACAAGCAATATGACAAATTACTCAATATGGATTCTGTCCCTTAGTAGTCAGCTCCCTCATCTGTGCAATGTTGAATTGAGACTTTCTTATGATGTTTCCAGTTAAATATAATTGATAGCTTTCTTTCAAATCAAGGAAAGCAGATGGTCACACAATATAGCAGTAAAACTCTTAGTTATAGCTGCACGGATGACTCAGGACAGCAGAAGCTTACTTGCCCTTTAGATCATTGTTTACAAACACAGATACAACATATTTGAGACTTGCACAAGTCAACAATATATAGCAACAGTTAAGTATAATGACAGGAAAAATTAAGGTACATGTAATTATAAACCAAAATCCTAACTCAAAACCAATAATAAAATGTTTCATGCATATCGTTAGTGATGTCACCACGGTCAGTTAAGCCCCGGTTACTGGAGATATACCGATAACAGTTTACTGTAGGCCTATAATCACTGCATAGCAAATGGTATCAACTTAAAATTTCTTATTTATTAATGCTATAATTATGAAGAATCTTAAATCAAAATAGAGCTCTTGCAATTCTCTTTCCGATCATGTTTTCTGCATTTTAATGCTGTGAACATAAGTAATTGGCTAATATGTAGTTTTTTCACATTACTTAGCTCAAGCCTTTCAGACCTCCCTGGGGTTTGGCCTAATCTATTTTTTGGAACAGTGTGAGATCACTGTGAAAGGTCTTTATAATTTATTCCAAATTATGCCAAGAAAATTCCCAGCCAAATACATTCCTTTAATAAGTCATTGGAAGGTTCTACATATTTGTATACAAGCCTTTGTGAAACTTTTACTTGCCAAATATGATAGCCTTTGATCAATCAGAAGTTGTTCGTGATTTTACCAAATTTAACCCCAGTGACCTTAAATATTTTTATGGATCAAGCTATTTTTTCACACACTATGTGGGCACTATAAAGGGAACCTTTTGGCCAAATATTCTGATTTTAGGCCTTTTGGTTAAGCAGAAGTTGTTCAAAGGTTTAATGCATTAGACCACTGTGACCTTGATTATGGGTCAAGGTAATTTCTTTTCTCAAATATTATCAGGCATCATTGAGAACCTAATTTGGCATAACGTCACTATCCTAGATATTTGGTTAGTCAGAAAAAGTTGTTTAAAGGTTTAACACATTTGACATCTGTGACCTTGAATATGGGTAAAGGTGATTTCTTTTTGCAAACTTTCTTGGGCTTGATAAAAGGAACATGCTGGTCAAATATAATGATTCTAGGTGTTTTGGTATTTAAGAAGAAGTCATTTAAAGGTTTAAACACATTTGACCCCTGTGACCTTGAAGATTGGTCAAGGTCACATATTTTAGCAAACTTTGTAGGATGCATTAAGAGGAACATAGTAGCCTAATATAATGATTTGTGCCATGTGAGCTAAAAACATAAGAAAACTGTACATAACATTAACTGCTGTCTCATGCTAAGGCATGTAACCAAGTTTGAATTCAAAGAAAGTAAACTAACAAATTTAATTTTCCTAGATGAAATCTTTCATCCATTAACATTAGAACATCTTCGAAATTTTTGTCAATTTGACCCATTTTTGGCCCCTCCTCCGGATCAGCTGAGGTCGATATGAGCATCTCATTGAACTGTCAGCTAATACCAATAATTCTTAATAAATTTGATCTATTTCTAAAAGAAAATAAACAACTATGCTCAAAAATGTAATTTTCTCTTACAAACTATAATAAAATTTACTTTTTCCCACCCCCCTTCCAATCCCAAGGGGAAATGTGAGTCCCTGTTGTCATAAAATTTACAACTTCTGTAAAGCCTCTTCAGGCATTTCCAACCATGAAGAGTATTTGATTTGAAGATTTTTTAATTTTCAATCAATTTGACCCATTTTTGGCCCCACCCCTGAGGTCACTTGGGGTTGGGTATACATTTAGCCTTGGAAGGTTTTTGTAAATTTTCACTTAAATCGGTGAAAGAGTTTTCCTGAAGAATTTTTTCCTAACTTATAATGTGGCTTGCACATTAATTGTATTTTTTTTTTTGTTCCATGTTAATTATTATTGCCAGTCCCCATTGGTCACTGTCATGAAGTCCAAACAGACAAACACAGCTGATATTTCAACAATTATGATGCATTTAGTCAAATGACTTATCTCAACGATAAGTTTTGCATCTTTTGGACCACTGATAGTTATACATCAAGGTTATCTTAATTAACAATTAACAACAGGCACAACAATGGGTCTATATCTCTTATAGTTCCTGTTACTTGTGGTTACTGAAAGGGAGTAAATTTAAAGCCTTTGGCCCTAATGAGCTTAAAAGTCGGCCAAAAGTCATTCATGTGAATCAACTTGATAGCTCTTCATCCCTGTATGCTACTGCCCCAATGTATATTATGACCTGGCACCCCTTGGTTAAGGAGAAATCATTTTGTAAAGCAAAACTGAGAAAATGTGACCCATGACCTTGATAGAGTGCCAGGAGATATCCTTTAAAAACTTTCCAGTATGCTACCGGTGACATATCATAACAATGGACCATCTTATTTAGAAGAAATTGTTTGGGAAAAGTTGATGCTGACGCTGGACGGACAACATGCCACTTCATAAGCTTACTTGCACAAGTAATAGGAGGTTCCTTCATTCTTTTTAAGTGAAACAAAAAACTGAGAGTATGTCTTCATTGTTGGCAAGATTATTTTTTCTATTGTTGGCAAGATTATTTTTTCACACATTTGATGTATTGCATGATCTTGTTAAGTCAAGGTCAAGTCAGAGCTTCAGCTTCCTTTAAAATAATGTTTTCTTAGATGTGATGATAAGTATCAAATTTTATATTTGCACGAACTTTGGAAGATTGCAATGATATCGGCTTGTAGATATAGAACATGCCTTTTGATCCTTGTGCAGATGCAAGTGTTGAAAAATTACTATTTCTTTCCACAATAAGGCCATCTGTTAAAATGCTGGCCCTAAATGTTGATAATTTAGTCCCATCCCTTTTTGAAAGAGCCGAAGTTCTGACATTAATCGACCACGTGCAAAAGACGATTGAACGTCAGAACTATTTAGACTCTCGTTGCAGTTTATACAGATCAGATCATGTAAATCAGGATGATTAATACTGCTTGTGGCGATTATCAATTCAACATTTTAATAATATCAAATAGTCTGTCTAAAAGAGCTGATTATTACCGGCTGTCTAGACGACAGTCTTGCGATTTGTTAATTAAACTCGTTTCTTTTCAATGTGGTAAAAGGATCGATCTATCCCATCATTGATATACAATTGCTCGTCATACAAGTATTCTGATATCTTGTGCTTTCATTTTTCCAACGTTTATATTCCATGTGTTTATGTTTTTTAACATATATCTGGTGTACATAGTAACCAAACAATATTATCAAAACAATCGCAACCGGCATAGCACGTGCTGTAGATCTCTAAACAGTCTTCCAGAACGTTCGCCGAAACAAAGCGAAACTACCACTCCATATTGAAATGCATGGGAGTTTTAAATGCAAAATTAGACAGCCAGTTGAAATATTAAATCTGTGAATATAATTCACATTGACAATAATTGCTAATGTTCTCACTGAGCTAAAAATCAAAACGACGTTTCCAGTATACGCACCTTGTGTCAGCCATTTTGTTGGATTTTGACGCCATGTGAGCCGGAAGTGTTTGTTTATAATTAACGAATTTTCACTTAAATATGAAGCGAAACGAAACATATTATTTAATATTGAAGATTTATTTTGCGTTAAACATCATAAATAAATATTGTGTAGTCAACAGTTTATCAACAAACAGAATCAAGAAGAAATAAGAGTAGGATACGATTAAACGTTGTGATTTTGAAATCAAGAAAACTTCTCAATTTCCATTTTTTGACAAAAATGTAATTATCGACCAAAAGTGAAAAACTGCAGTGAAATTGATTTTAGATGAAAAAAAATCGCCGAAGAATATACAGTATTATCGGAAGTGACGAACCTTGTCTTACTTTAGTAGAAGTTTATTAAATATAAACCGGCGAAATCTAGGAAGATCGTGTTTACATGATATTGTTTCAGTCCTGTTTTCGTGTCGATTAGTGTGTCATTTTGATCTTGGCTGATAACTAGTGCTATTAAACTCTCTGTAGTATCATCGTCTTTTTAATTATGTTTTCTTTCGGATCCCTAATCATAAACTCCGCCGGCAGAACTAACTTAACAGATAAAGTTAACAATGATGCCACTGGCAGAATTTGATTGAAACTTGTGGTGATTGAAATTTAATTCCATATTGTTCTACCATAGGTTCTACAGATAGATATCTATATCCTATTTGATGACAGCATCATTTATATACGATGACATGGCAGTGCTTTTTTTTTTACTCGACCTCATGCTAGTGTAGAGCATTCAGGCATTAGAGCAGTCAGATGAGTGTAGCATCTGGGAAAAAACTAGTCATCCAAACTTTTTAATGGGGATTTCTCCTTCAGATGTTATCAACTGGAAACTTATACGCATGATACTTATCTACTACATGTACACAGGGAAAACCCCAGATTGTTTACACTGGTGTGAAACCGATCACCGGAACTAAAATATGCTAAAAACTAAACATTTTCTTGAAGACAAGTACCATTAGATTTCTTTTGAAAAATTTGTCACTGATTGTAGATTTAAAATCCCAACCACGCAAATTAACGAAACTAAATTTACTTTTAAATGTATGAAACAAAAGAAGCCAATTATCGCCCCTTAAACATATTTAGTTGAAACAAAGGGACTGGGACCAAGTTATTGAAATTATGTAAAGCCCTCTTCCGCATTTTTACAAACAAACAGTTACAACTGATCAGATAGCAAACTCACATATAGATAATTTATATATATATATTAATATGCTACGATCATTTATTAGATAGAAAATTTATGGATTAATTCCTTATCTCATAACTTTCCTCTATTTACAATTTCATTTCGTTTCATACATACGCCCGAGAGAGAGAGAGAGAGAGAGAGAGAGAGGGGGGGGGGGGGGGGGGTGGAGATTTCGTGATTGGAAAGATATTTACACTTCGTTTCACATCGCAAACAACCAACGATTTATTTGCTTCATAAAAATATCATGGGATCTCCATTCAATGAAAGAAAAAAAAACTCGACAGGAGCATTTGATCCAAGAACTTTGCAGCTGAGAGCAGGGATCTTACCACTGTGTTACCGTTATGCTATTGATTCTAGACCTATTAATTGTAGAGTTTGAAATGTAAATGTTTCTTTCAAAAAAAGAAAATTGAATCCTGTTTGACTCTTAAACTTATTATTTATGCTAATAGAACTCACACCGGAAGTTGAACACAAGGGACAATTGTCCAGTGTCTTTGGGGACCTCTTGGGCTTCCAAATGTTTAGCCCTTTAATATTACTGAATGAAAGCAGACACACACCCCTGTTGTGTTTTTCCTACATGGGTTTCATAAATCGTCTATGTGGGTATACAGTCATTTGCATACATGGTACACAGTTTCATTTAAAATTCAATGCAACTAATAAAACCAACTTGTCGAGAGGTATTCATGTTTAAAATAACAAATTACGTAGCAATATTTTCACGAAAAAGCTTAAATTTGGTGAGATTTTGAAGCTATTGGGTTCATTTGCAACCATATTAATTTCTACTGGATACAATGTCATGTTACCTATATCTTAAAGCAACCCATAACACTAAGGAAAGAAGGACAATGATTAGAAATTGCTTAACCACAGCGGCATTTTAAAAAACTTTTTTTTCTAATGTGGCAATGCATCTATCCAATGATAAATACATTGATCTCGTACATTTTATTTCTCACTAAGATTTATGACTTACATTTATATATAGCAGTCAATAAGTCAATTAATTTATGTAATCCATTTGCTTGGTTGTTGCAACATCAATCCATGTTCTTAATTTTCAAGCAACAAGTCCGTGATATTTTTTACAAGTCCAATGTAATGATATACAATGTACTAAATGCGATACTAGCCCGCCAACATAATTAAATCTTATTTTAACCAATTCTTGAGAGTCAACTATGTCAGGTAAAATCAGAAACGTATTTCTAATTTTACTAGTCTTTTAAATTGCTAGAAAATGCATGTGTATATCTATTTTGGTATCTGACTTTTTTCTTGCCTTACAAAAGTTACCATTGTAGTTAAATAATATTCCCAAATATGAATATGAGTAAACAATTTCAAGTTGTTCATCAGAAAATGTAAATCTAGCTTGATTCCTACATTTCCTTTTTGGGAATATTATAATTTTAGTTTTTTGCGTATTAACATTTTACTTCCAGATTTGACAATAATCATTAAAAATATTTATAACTGTCTGTAAAACTTTAGCAAATTCAGATGAAATTACAGTGTCATTACCTAAGGATCACGTCGTCCGGTAGTTATTGACACGGAACTGATTATACAAATTAGTTATAGAAACATGGATATTGACCGAGAGACAATCGAAAAAAAACAAATAAAACAGACAACAAAGCAATTAGCCGTGACTTGTACGTAATCACTTACTTACACTTCTTTTCTGAAAATCCAATCGAATACACTTATATCTATAATTGCCTCGTCCTACCACTTTAAAATTCCCCAAAGTATCTTAAAGCATTCTGAACATAGATAAACCAAAATCAATAAAGAATGTCTCTGTTATAATCATGTCTGCAGCGTACACTTCTCGTTAAAAATGATTCTACATGTAAGTATCAATGTCAAAATAGTATATACATTGTACATGTAAGTATCAATGTCAAAATAGTATATACATTGTACATGTAAGTATCAATGTCAAAATAGTATATACATTGTACATGTAAGTATCAACGTCAAAATAGTATATACATTGTACATGTAAGTATCAATGTCAAAATAGTATAGACATTGTACATGTAAGTATCAATGTCAAAATAGTATATACATTGTACATGTAAGTATCAATGTCAAAATAGTATAGACATTGTACACTTCTTCAATAATGCTTATCATGTACATTCGTCATGTAAGTATCAATGTCAAATAAAATAGTATATACAGTATCAATGTCAAAATTATATACATTGTACATGTAAGTGTATAGTGACATGTAAGTATATATAGTATATTCACACCAATGGTTACAAAAGTCAGTCGTAAACTGTTCACGTGCCTTTGAAATTGCATCGTTATATCCAAACGGAATGTATAGAGAGGGTGTTCTCCAATTGCCAACATTTTTTTTAACAACAGGATGGTGCTGCTTTAGGAAACAAGGACAAGGCACTTATACACTGTTTCATATAAGCTGTCCTTTTCTTACCTGAATATAACTTGAGATTGTTTCTTACAACCCATCTTCACATGATTGAGATATTCAACTAAATATATAAATCTTATTTGATGAAAAATACTGAATAATTAAGTTTGACTTCATTAAGCACTAAAACATATATAAATAAATAAAATTATTATGTTGGATGATTTAGCACTACACCTAAACATGTTTCTTAAATCATTTTAATACAAAGAGAAAAAATACATGTAGCCTATAGATAAATAAACGATTTTTTTTTTAAATAGCCGAGGCATTATAAAATAAACTCCATTGGTTGTTGCTATTTACATACTGAGGTCTATGGTTTGGTTATAGCTTTAGAAAAATTAAAAGTAATAAAAAAGTGAAAGTCCAGTTCGAGAGGTGCACTTGACATATAATTCGATAACGTTCAAGTCTCTGTGTGTATTCTGAATCTTGTCACTAATGATTGGAATAATTACAATGCATGTTACGGCAAATCTCCGGGACTAACCCACAATCTCTAAGATTGTACAACAGACACACAAGTGAACAGCACCTTTTAATACCTACTCGGAGTTAGAGACTGTAGAGCCGGACAATGAATAAATCTGCATCACATAGCTTTCTCGTTCTTTTAGCAAAACCGGCCATATCCATGTACTTCGAAATGTTATGCACGTGTCTTCGAGGATAATTTTCGTTATTCTTAGGCATTTTATAATTTTAAAATAAGTTTTCTGTCAGGAAAATAAATACATTGGTTTATTTTTATCAATTCGTATTAATGTTCAATTTGAAGGAAGCAGTTAACAAATTACATATGTGTAATCTAAAAACTAATGACCTTTGAATTCGGTCTTATCAACCCCGAGCTTCGCCCTCGGTCAATAATTTGTTACATGGCTGATATAACATCATACTGACAGAAATCAAAGGTTCATAAAAGTAATCACAATGAAATAAGACGTCATACATTTTGGGCGCATCTTTACAGTAATTTGTTATATCAGAAAGTGAATTATCATAGGGTAGTTGGACAAGATAGTTTTGCCATGGCCACTGATGACCTCTGATAGATTGACGGGATGGATATAAAAACAACCAGTTTCTCATTAGAAATGAAATAGGAATTCTGTGTTTATTGGGAGAAAATGACGTCATTGACTGGAGTGGTATTATATCAGTTCGATCTTTCTATAAGATAAAACAATGAGAATAATTAGTCCGATAAATGTATTACAGTATAAGCGGGCAACCAAGTTCCTCGAGAATGCTCTAATTTGGTTACTTCCCTTTGTACATCCCTACAAACGGATTCAATATTTCCATGTAAGACAACAAAT